AAAGAAACATTTCAAGTCAAATTCATACAAAATGAGATGTGATGTGAATTAAGCTACATACTTTACACGCAGTCATGTTCGCTTTTGTATCTTGCCAGCAACCACCATTATTGTCAAGACATTCATTAGTCTCTAGACCCGTGTTTAAGCAAATGGGAGGATCTGATGTTTCGTTGAATCCTGCGCATATCGCTTTCAGAACAGCGGTTCTCTCCAATCTCCCTTCACAAGCACAAACAATAACAACATAAAACTTCAGTATCTTGAGAAACTTATGTATCTTGAAAAGTTAAATAAGCAAAATCCAAACCTCGATATTGAGCGTTGTTGATGACTAATGTTGGCAATATAGTAACATCTCCTCGCTCTCCTCGGCCAAGCTTGATGATGTTACATACAATAAAGTTAGCAACCAAACCTAATGTATAATCCAACCAATAAGTTAAAAGGCAAGAAAATCAAACCTGAACTACTTGCTCCATTTTAAGAACTTCGTTCTCCGTATCAGCCTCTGGATCACCCATGCATTTCTTGACCTTCTCAATGGGTAAATCTGAGAGAAATCTTGAGAATTCATAAAACCATAACAAAGAAAGAAATAAAATAAGGGTTTTCTCTTTAAACCATAACTCTTACTTAGAGATTTGATGACATTTTCAGCACACTCTATGCTATATTTCTTCTCCTTCATTGAACACCTAGCATGAAAATCAGTAACATAATCCCACCAAACCCAAGACCGGCTACTCTCATTAGCAACTCTATGCACACAAAGCTGTCTCAGATTCTCAAACACAACATCTTTCCCTTCATACCCTTCTCTGAAATTCTTCTCAGGATCAGGAGCACAATATCTCCCATGGTTTATACACTGAGACTTACACTGTGGACTGTTTACAAACTGAAAAGGACAAAACCAAGTGATGTAATGCGGCGTAAACGCCGTGTAACCTCCTTTCTCAAGTATCTGAGCATGACCCTTAAAGTTCTTAACAAAATCCATCTGCTCATCGCACCGTGCACCACACTCGTCGTTGCTATTAGTCCACAGCTCGTACTCTACTCTCTGGTCAGGATGAGGCACAGATTCTCTCCAGTCTAGCTTCAAGACTATGTCTTTACCTTTCTTGAAACCTTCTCTTAAGCTGTCTCCGAATGATTTGTCGATTAGAACCGATGGGATTGTTAGCTTCTCTATAAACCCATCCGCGTCTCTGCTCTCTTCAGGTGAGTCCATTGTTAGCAACGGCTCGTCTTTGTTGTCTGCGACGAGAACTGCCGCAGCTCCTGCTTGCTGCGCGTTCCATGCCTTTAATGCAAAGTAACAACCTGAAAACAGAGCATCAAAAACAGAGGACCTAAAAAACAGAACGAATCGCAGAGAGTTTAAAGTTTAAATCTTTCACGTCCTATTGGTTTAAAGTTTAAAGATTTACACTCAAATCTAAATTTTCAGCATGACCCATTAGCCAGAACAGAGTTTCGATCAAGACTTAGAACAAAGACATGTTTTTTTATTTTTTTAGTTTATTCAAAAAGACAGAACAGAACACATGTTTTAAACTTTTGAGATATTTTTTGTTGTTGTTGTTTTTGTTGTGTTGTGTTACCTCCACGATCGAGAAGGAGAATAGTGGGACGAGGAAACTTGGGCTTGAAGGTTTTACCAAAAGCAGAGCAACCATCGGTTTTACTATCCGGGTAAACCACTGCTCCGATTAGAAACCCGCCGTAATCGGGTAACCCGAAGTTGGCTATCGAGCCGTCGTGCTTTGACCTCATCTCCTCCGGGTTTAGAACTCTTATGCTCTCTTTCTCCACCACGAACCTCGCGTCCACGTCCACGACGACCATGGCGATCATGGTCAACGCCGCGAGGAGAGAGGTCAACGTTCTCCCGTTGACTAAACTCATGTCTGAATCCACCACCAAGGATTGGGATTACACGATGGATCAAAGTGTGTTTATCTGATTGTTTCCCGGCAAAAATGAATGAGAGAGAAAAATCAAAAACAGAGGAAAAGAGATATAACTGAAGCTTTTTATGAGTTTAACTGTTTCTAATTGAAGATGGTAGAATATATGATGGTATAAATAAATACAAATGGAAAAACATATATTTTTTTTAAGAAAATGGAAAAGGATTGGAAGATGTTAGACTTTTGTTTTCTTATATGATTTTTCTTACAAGATGATAAAATAGGAGACTCGATCAAAGCCTTGACTTTGCTATAAACATGGTGTGTGTGTCACGGTAGACAATATGTTTTTGTATTTAAAATTTGTAGGAGAAAAAGAAATTAGAACTATAACATTTTACTTGTCAAAACAAATTTATATCATTTCATAATTGCTTTTTGACGTAATAAAAACCTTAATTATTATCTCTCTCTTTTGCCTAAGGAATTTTCGTATATCAAAAGATTTGTAGGTGGGTGCAACGACAAATGTATATTATTGTTTTTGTTTAAGTCAATTAAAAACTGGTTAGACGAATAGCAGACATGGTCCATGCAAATAAACAGAAACATTGACTTCAAACGGGATGGGTTTCAATTAGGTTGTATTTAAACGCTCTTGAAAACATTCAAGATATATGGGTGTGTTGAAGAGGATTTGAAATATTTTAAATGATTTAATTTTAATAAAGTTTAAAATAACTTTTTAAAAAATTATGAATTTCAATGATTTAATTAAATTATTTTAGAATTTCAAATTTAGATATATATATATATATATATATATATATTTAATTAAAAACTCTACCAAACACTTTAGAATCACTCAGAATTATTAAATTTTTGAAACAAAAGATCCCTCCAAATTATAAAAGTCATTAATTAAATATTCACATCAGTTAAAACTTCAAAATCATAATCTTGTAAACTATATTTTTTTTTAAAAAAAAACTAGATGTTTTTATGCACCATGTGCAGAAATAAAAATTATATTTAAAAATAAAATTCAATTAGTTTTTAAATTTATTATATTGTTACATTGTTATGTTAATTATATGTAAAAATTAAGATAAAATAAATAACTTTTATTCAATATAGAATATATATATTTAATATGTAGAATATATATGTATATATTTAAAATTGAAATTTGGGAAAGACTTTTTTATCTTTTTTCTTTTGGTTAAAATATGTTAAATCGGATTTTATACAATTAAGAAAAAATTTTGTTAGGTATATAATTATCAAAATATAAAATTAAATAATATTTCTACAATTTATAGATGTTATAAAATTCTTTTCACTATATAGATGTTATAAAACTAACTATATTAGAACTAGAAAATCATAATTTTTAAAAAATCAACATAAAATTTTGAAAAAGTATTAAAAATGATAAATTAGGAAAATAGACTTGAAAAATATTTCTAAATTTTTAAATATTGTTATATTTATATTTCTACTATTATATTATTTATTGTTATGTTAATGATAATTTATGAGTTAATACTATATTCTAAACACCTACCAAAAATATATATTAACACTAAGTGTACATGTCATAATTAACTTTAATTCATGTCATCATTTTTAGTAAAATTGATTGTGGTGATGACACATGTTAAAATCACTTCACAAATAATAGATGAGAGATGTTGAAATAATAACAGATTTCTCATTTCATTATTAATCACTCCAAATCTGAAAATTTGAATACACCTCCATAATATGTAATCAGCCAGTATATTAGCCTAATATATAATATATATATATATATATATATATATATCCTATGATAATCTCTTCTTTTGGTTAATACAAAAAGTTTCTTAAAAACATTTAACAAATTGTGGAATTACCATGGCCTAGTGGTCAAGAATTTAAAAACTTTTACATTAAGGTTTAGAGTGTAATTTGTAAGTTTCAATTCCTGGAAAAAAAATTATGCAAAAATTGAAAAAAAAATTACAAAAGATCTTCGGAATGGCGCAAGAAATACCATAACAAATGGATTTCATTGGACGACTCATAATGATGCATACGCATAAGGTATGTAAAATTGTCGGCTATAATATTGTCTATATATTGTTTCTCATAATTTGTAATAACATAATTAACCGGATAAAAAAACATTTAACAAATTAAATTTACGAAAATAAATTTTTTTTGGCAAACAGATTTTAGTGGTACACTTTTATTCGTTAGCAAAAACGGAAGTTCTTGTTATTCATATTCGCCTCTTCAGTTGAATCAAATCATATCAGCAAAACTCTCAAATTGAGATCAAACTCGTACTCGATTCTCTCTTTCAATCTCAAAGACGCAACAGAGAGGCGCACGAGTTTGCATGATTCCCAATATTGTAACAATGCCCATTGGGCATCAATCAATGAAAGTTTTGCCGACAAAAAGAATATTTACTAGTATAGAAACTGCGCGACCACACGAGGTTATTTTTCTAGGGTTTGTTTTGGTTATAAAAACTGCTATGTGTTCTCTGTCGCCAAAAAAAACCGCAGCGGCTCGACTTTCTTAAGAAAAAAGGATATAAACAAAAGTAGAAAAAAGGATATAACAAACAAAAGTAGAAAAAATAAATATTTGGAAACTATCTACTAGTATTTAAACTGCTCGTGGACTAGGTTTTTTTTTCCTCTGTTTTGTTTGAGTTATAAGAACGCCTTGCATTCTCTGTCAATACTTTTTATGGGGGATTTAATCAGCAGTTTGCCAGATGAGATTCTTGGCAAAATCCTGTCTTTAGTTCCGACAAAAGTGGCTGCTTCCACATCGGTTCTGTCCAAGAGGTGGATGAATCTGCTGTCTCTTGTAGACAGCCTTAGTTTTGATGAGTCGATGGTTGTCTATCCCAACGAAGAAGAAGCTAGAAACGGTTCACTACGCTTCTCTGATTTCATAGAAAAGACACTTGTGCAAAACACCTCTCCCGTCATCAAGACATTCTCTCTCTGTCGTTTAGTTAGGACGTCCGAGAGTTACGATGATGAATCTGCCCGTGTCAACCGTTGGATTTGGACTGCAATGGAAAAGGGTTTGTTGGAACTACACATGTACGCCCCAAACCCTAGGACTACTGTTAGTATAGAACCTAGGTTACTAAGGAGTACCACACTGGTTAAGCTCACAATCTGTGGTCATTATGATATTCGTAGCTTTCGGCGTGTGTTTTTCCCAGCCCTGAGATCACTTTCTTTGATAGCTGCGCTTGATCTTTACTGCTATCGCCTAATGGTCAGTTCTTGTCCTGTGCTTGAAGAGTTAACCATACGTGACTCTGAATTTCCAGATATGATGCCAACCACTGGTGCTATGTTCGTGAAACATGCATCGCTCAAGCGTCTTGCGATTGTTACACCTCTTCCCGATGTTACAGACTACTTTTTCGCGGCTGATTGTTTCGAAGGTGCTCGCCAAACAGTCACTTTCCAAGCACCAAGTCTTGTCTACCTTGACTATTCTAGTTTTGTCTTTAAAGAGTACGAGGTTGATGATTTCGTTTCTCTTGTCGAAGCAAGGCTGAGTCTCAAGTTATGGATGTCTACTACTAATTTTGATTACGATGATGATTATGTTTACGATGATTATGGTTATCTTTGTCCTGTTGATGATCCAGACCCACATATATTCGGTGATGTTACCTGTCTAGTTGCAGCTATGAGAAACATTACGACCCTTCACTTGTCTCCTGATTCCCTTGAGGTCGGTCCTTCTATATTATACTATTATTTGTTTTTAATTTGTGATATTAAAAAAAATTTATATAATGGATTAGGTGTTTCATTTCTGCTGTAAATCCATGCCTATCTTCAACAACCTTGTTAATCTATCTATTGAGAGTAATAAGCAAAAAAGTTGGCAAGTAATGCCACTTTTGCTCAAGTCTTGTCCAAATCTACAAACTTTAGTCTTCAAGGTATAATATCAGTTTACTTCTTTTTTTTTTCATTTAATTAATAAACATGCCTTAAATTTGTATGTTTTCCAGGGTCTTGTTCACAGAGTAACAAATAGATGTGGAGATGCATGCGCTTGCGACCCTCAGGATCCGAGTCAGAAAAAGAGAAAGAGGATGAATAAGAAGAAGAAAGTATGTTGTCTACAGACATGTCCAGTGAAAGTGCTAGAGATTTCAGATTATGGAGGTTGTTCTCAAGAGCTGGAACTGATGAGACATTTCCTTGGCAATTTGGAATGTCTTGAAACTCTTAAAGTTGGAGTTGACCCGGACAAGAATAGTTATCTCGTGCGAGCTAATGTAAGGGCTCTTCCCAGACTTTCATCAAAGTGCACCATTCAGTTCACCTGACCTTTTCTTTCTTTACCTTTTTCCTTGTACTGTTGAAACATGAATTTGATTATTATCAACTTTAAATATCATTCTTTCCAGTTGCCTACAATCTCTTTAAAAAAGATAATAATGGTTTTCACATGCTTCTTGTGATTCCAAGAACGAGAAACTCTTTCAATGTCAAAAACAGTTTTATTCTCGATGGTCCAATGGACTTTCTCACCTTGTTGCTCAATTTCCATACGAAAATATTCCTTTATATATTATAATCTTGAACATGATATGTGTCATCACAAAAATCAATTTATGAAAAAAATATGATAAATCAAATTTTAAGGTATTTTCATCCCTAGTTTATATTTTATTCTGGCAAATTGAGCAATGAACAAAACTAAAAAATTAAATGAAATAATATTTTTATTGTTTATTCATTATTCTATTGTTTATACCATTTAAGAACAAAATATAAGAATTGAAATGTAGATGCTCTGAAACATTAGACAGGAAAAACATCAGATTGTCATAAAAATACTCTATCCGTTTCGATTTAATTGTCATTATAAAAAAAAAAAATCGTTTCTAAATAAGTGTCGTTTTGGAGTTACCATTCACATTCTCCAGGAATTGAAACTCTCATGGTGTAGCGGGAATTGAAACTCTCATGGTGTAGAAGTTGCTTAGCCTGGGATTCGAACCCCAGACTTGATGTAGAAGCGTTTAAACTTTAACCATTAGGCTACGGTGCTTCCACTAGTACGTAACTATATATAGAGGAATATTTTCATTTGGAAATTGAGCAACAAGGTGAGAAAGTCCATTGGACCATCGAGAATAAAATTGTTTTTGACATTGAAAGAGTTTTTCGTTCTTGGAATCACAAGAAGCATGTGAAAACCATTATTATCCCTTTTTAAAGAGATTCTAGGCAACTGGAAATAATGATATTTAAAGTTGATAATAATCAAATTCATGTTTCAACAGTACAAGGAAAGAAAAGGTCAGGGGAACTGAATGGTGCACTTTGATGAAAGTCTGGGAAGAGCCCTTACATTAGCTCGCAGGAGATAACTATTCTTGTCCGGGTCCACACCAACTTTTACCGTTTCAAGACATTTCAAATTGCCAAAGAAATGTCTCATCAGTTCCAGCTCTTGAGAAGAGCCTCCATAATGTGAAATCTCTAGCACTTTCACTGGACATGTCTGTAGACAACATACTTTTTTCTTCTTTTTCATCCTCTTTCTCTTTTTCTGACTCGGATCCTGAGGGTTGCAAGCGCATGCATCTCCACATCTATTTGTTACTCTGTGAACAAGACCCTGGAAAACAACAAATATAAGACACGTTTATAATCAATGGCAACAACAACAACTACAAAAGTAAACTGATATAAATACCTTGAAAAGTAGAGTTTGTAGATTTGGACAAGACTTGAGCAGAAGTGGCATTACTTGCCAACCTTTTTGCTTGTTACTCTCAATAGATAAATTAACAAGGTTGTTGAACATAGGCATGGACTTACAGCAGAAATGAAACACCTGATTCATTATATAAAATCTTTTATGTATCACAACCAAAAACAAATATATTAGTATAAGACAGAAGGACTGACCTCAAGGGAATCAGGAGACAAGTGAAGGGTTGTAATGTTTCTAATAGCCACAACTAGACATGTAACATCACCGAATATAGGCGGGCGTCGATAACCATGATAAAAAGAGCCATAGTCATCGTAGTAATAATCATCATCGAAATCAAAATGACTAACTGACCACCATAACTTGAGACTCAGTCTTGCTTCGACGAGAGAATCCAAGTCATCAACCTCATAATTTTTAAAGACAAAACTAGAATAGTCAAGGCAGACAAGACTTGGTACTCGGAAACGAACTGTCTGGCGAGCATATTCGAAATATTCTGACAAGAGATTGTAGTCTATACCATCAGGAAGAGGCGTTACAATCACAAGACGCTTGAGTGATGCATGTTCTACGACGATACCACCACAAATAGGCAGCATATCTGGAAAGTCCCCGTCGCGTATGGTTAACTCTTCCAGCACAGGACAAGCTTGGATGATTTGGGGATAGCGGGAAAAATCAAGCAAAACCATCAGAGAAAGTGATCTGAGGGCTGGGAAAAACATATGGTTAGATACACGAATATCAAAATGACCGGAGATTGTGAGCTTAACCAGTGTGTTACTCCTAATTAGTAAACTACGAGTTATATTAACACACGTCCCGAGGTTAGGGGCGTACAAGTGTAGTTCCAATAAACCCTTTTCCATTGCAGTACAAATCCAACGGTTGACACGGGCGGATTCATCCTTGTAACTCATGACCTTTTTAACTACACGACACAGAGAGAATGTCTTGATGGCGGGAGAGTTGCGTAGCAGAGCAAGTGTCTTGTCTACGAAATCAGAGAAGCGTAGTGAACCGTTTTTTGCTTCTTCTTCGTTGGGATAGACAACCATCGACTCATCAAAACTAAGGGTGTCTACCAGAGACAGCAGATTCATCCACCTCTTGGACAGAACTGATGTGGAAGCAGCCACTTTTGTCGGAACTAAAGACAGGATTTTGCCTAGAATCTCATCTGGCAAATCGTTGATTAAATCCCCCATAAAATTACCAGCAGTCAAAATTTAGAATAGACACCTCAGTAGAAGCGTTCCAATCTTAAAACGAATCTCAACCAGAAAAAAAGAAACAAGAATCACAGATGATAATCTAAATTGAACGAGAGAAACCGTGCCTGATGAAGTGAGTTTAGGAATAACCAAAAGAAAAGCTTGTTTTTTTTCGACAGAGAACACAGAGCGTTTTTATAACCAAAACAAACCCTAGAAAAGCAACCTCGTGGTCGCGCAGTTTCTATTATTGTTTTTATTTAAGTCAATTATAATAACAAATTAGGATAAGACATGCATCTTGCATAGGATAACTATATATAATTAAAATATAAAATTTTAACATTGACAAATTTAAAATTTACATGATTGTTTTTATATATATTTAGAATTTTAAAGTTTTTATACAATTATATATACGTATTATGATCAGAAACAATTGTAATTAGAACTATAGATCAAAACTTATAATAAATTTAATGGGTTATGTTCATATATCTTTTCACTTTTCAGTGTTCGAGTGATGGAAAATAAACGGAATGTCACATAGCTTTATTGGTTGAACATTGTCAAGAAGCAATTGGTAGAATATTTCCATTTAGAATATAGAAAGTTTCAAAACTAATTTAATATAATTTATTTATTTATCTAATAATATCATAAAACTATATTTTTGAAAATATTTTTACTAAAATATTTTAAAAAAATTAAATTAAATTTTAAATTATAATTATATTTAAAATAGTATTATTTATTCATATGATATGAGATATATATATATATATATATATTAACATAAAGACCTAGGAAAATTAATTTATTTATTCATATGATTTTACAATTATTGTAACTTATTATAAAAGAAATAAGACATTGATCACAAAAGTTTATGTGAGATTTTTAACAGTTTTAGTAATTTATACTTGTTTTGCAAATTTTCAAAATACAAGATATATAAAAAATCTAAATTTTTATTAAATGATTAGTGTAGTAGTGTAGTATATTTTAATAATAAAAATTAAACAAAAATTATATAAAGTATACATATTGTTAGAAAATTTTTATTATTTAAAATCATTAATAGTCATATATATCTTAGTCACATTAGGTAATTCTGTAGTTTTTATTTAAAGAAAATATATATATATATATATATATATATATATATATATATATATATATATAATTTAGTTTGATATGTCTTATATGAGACCATCATACCATGTTTTAAAACTATGTTTTATATAAGGTGCTCTAGAATCCTTCTAAATTGAAATAAAAACATAGAGAAGTGACACGTATGATGGAATTATTTTTTAATTAATACAAATGTAAATTTATCATTTTTAAAATGTTTTTCAAGAGATTTCTCAATTCAATATTAATCACTCCTAATATGTATATCAAAAGATTTGTAGGTGGGTGCAACGACAAATGTATATTATTGTTTTTATTTAAGTCAATTAAAAATTAGTTAGACAAATAGCAGACTTGGTCTAGGCAAATAGAAAGAAACATTGACTTCAAACGGGCTGGATTTCAATTAGGCTGTATTTAAACGCTCTTGAAAACATTCAAGATATATGGGTGTGTTGAAGAGGATTTGAAAATATTTTAAATGATTTAATTTTAATAAAGTTTTAAAATATTTTTTTGAAAATTATGAATTTCTATCATCTAGCTAAATTACTTTAGAATGTCAAAATTTAGATATATATATATATATATATATATACAAATATGTATATATATATATATATATATGTATTTAATTAACAACTCTACCTAATACTTTAGAAATGTTCTGAATTATTAATTTTTGAAACAAAAGATCACTCCAAATTACAAAAGTTATTACTTAAATATTCACATTAACAAATAAAATCAAATAAATTTTAAAACCATAATGTTGTAAACTAAATTTATATTTTTCTAAGAAAATATTTAAATAATAACAGATTTCTCATTTCAATATCAATCCCTCCAAATCTGAAATTGAATACACCTCCATAATATGTAATAATCCAGCATATTAGTGTAATATATATATCCTATGATAGTCTCTTCTTTTGGTTAATACAGAAATTTCCTGGAAAAAAAATTAACAAATTAAATTTACGAAAATAAACTTTTGCTTTTTGCAAACAGATTTTAGTGATACACTTTTATTCATTAGTAGAAACCAAAGTGTTCCTCTTTCAGATAAACCATATCAGCAAAACTCTCAAATTAAGATCGAACTTGTACTCAATTCTCTCTTTCAATCCAGAGGCGGTCCTAGACATGTATAGGCTAGAAGCCAAAAATAATTATGTGGCTTGTTAGGTTCAAACCCGTGACCTCATCTATTTAGTAAGAGTACATCTACCAAGTAGGCTAAAGGAACTTTTGCCAAAAATGAGGTCGAAATAATAGTTAATATTTTACAGCCGCAAGTATGTGCTTGATCCGCTTCTATTCACGGCCGACTCTGTTTCAATCTCAAAGATGCAACAGAGAGGCGCATGAGTTTGCATGTTTTTCCAGACTTTTTATTTAATATTTTTATGACAATCTGATGTTCTTCCAATCTAATGTTTCAGAGTATCTACATTTCCATTTTTATATTTTGTTCTTAAATGGTATAAAAAATGGAATAATGAATAAAAAATAAAAATATTATTTCATTTATTTGTTTTAGTTTTGTTCATTGCTCAATTTGCCAGAATAAAATATAAAGTAGGGATGAAAATACATTAAAATTTGATTACAATCATGTTTAAGATTGTAATATATAGAGGAATATTTTCATATGGAAATTGAACAACAAGGTGAAAAAGTCCATTAGAGACCATCGACAATAAAATTATTTATGACATTTAAAGAGTTTTTCGTTCTTGGAATCAGAAGAAGCATGTGAAAACAATTATTATATTTTTTAAAGAGATTGTAGGCAACTGAAAAGAATTAATACCAAATGATCATTCATTTTAATGAGTTTTTTACTTTTTCTAGAATTACAATTAATAATATAACCAAATTTTTATTTCTATTAATGGTAATTTAGTTTTTTAATTTTTGGGTCTAAAAATAATATAATAATGAGTTTTATTAATGAGCTAAATTTACTTTCTAATTATTTATAAAGTTTCGTTCAAAAATAAACACATCAACTTTAATTAGCGTAGTTAGAGCTGAGAATTTTAATATTAGTCTGCGGGTTGACCCGCCACTGAACATAATGATCAATTTGAAAATTTTAAGTTGCGGATACATGTAAAGTGTATCTTACGCGGGATGGGTGTGGATTTTTCAAATTTCAATTACGGAATTTTTTTAAAAATTTTATTTTTCAAAAATATACTAAATTACGTTAAAAATAATTATATTTTAAAATAATAAAATTTAATTAAAATATACTATTTAATATTATTTTTAGAAAAAAATTAAAAAATAATTAATTTTTATTATATAATAATTATCTGTGGTTGTCACAGATTATCCGTAAAATTAAGTGGGGCAGATGCAGATAAAATATATTTTCTTTGCAGATCAGGCATGATGCAGATAAAAATATTGGGCGGGGCAAGATTGACCTGTTTCCCAGCACTAACCGTAGTTGATATTATTGTTTCAAAATAAAAATACACAATTACATATAATACATTTACATAGATATTGATGATAACAATAAATTAAAATCTGTATTAATTTTTTTAAGTTATATTAAATAGTGAATGTTATATGATCAAAGCAAAAAAAACTCTTTAGATAAAACAATAAAAATGGTATCCACGCTTAGTGATATTTAAAGTTGATAATAATCAAATTCATGTTTCAACAGTACAATGAAAAAGGTAAAGAAAGAAAAGATCAGGTGAACTGAACGGTGCACTTTGATGAAAGTCTGGGAAGAGCCCTTACATTAGCTCGCAGGAGATAACTATTCTTGTCCGGGTCAACTCCAACTTTTACAGTTTCAAGACATTCCAAATTGCCAAAGAAATGTCTCATCAGTTCCAGCTCTTGAGAACAACCTCCATAATCTAAAATCTCTAGCACTTTCACTGGACATGTCTGTAGACAACATACTTTTTTCTTCTTATTCATCCTCTTTCTCTTTTTCTGACTCGGATCCTGAGGGTCGCAAGCGCATGCATCTCCACATCTATTTGTTACTCTGTGAACAAGACCCTGGAAAACAACAAATATAAGACACGTCTAATATCAATGGCAACAATACAACAACTAGAAAAGTAAACTGATATAAATACCTTGAAAAGTAGAGTTTGTAGATTTGGACAAGACTTGAGCAAAAGTGGCATTACTTGCCAACTTTTTTGCTTGTTACTCTCAATAGAGAGATTAACAAGGTTGTTGAACATAGGCATGGATGTACAGCAGAAATGAAACACCTGATCCATTACCAAAATATAAGAAAAAAATAATAATGATTGATTTATGAAGAAACACTGACCTCAAGGGAATCAGGAGACAAGTGGAGGGTCGTAATGTTTCTTATAGCCGCAACAAGACATGTAACATCACCGAATATAGGCGGGCTTGGTTCATCAACATCATAAAGATAACCATGATAATCGTAATAATAATCATCATCGTAATCATAATGACTAGTAGACATCCATAACTTGAGATTCAGCCTTGCTTCGACAAGAGAAGCCAAATCAACAACCTCATACTCTTTAAAGACATAACTAGAGTAGTCAAAGTATTCAAGACTTGGTGTTTGGAAACGAACTGTTGTAATAGCATTGTCAAAATAATTTACCGAGAGATAGTAGTCCGCATAATCAGGAAGATCCGTAACAATGACAAGACGTTGGATCGATGCATGTTCCACAAAGGCACCAACCCAAATGGGCGGCATTTCTGGAAAATCCCCATGGCGTAAGGTTAACTCTTCCAGCACAGGACAAGCACGGATGATTTCGGGATAGCAGTAAAGATCAAGCACAACCATCATCAGGGAAAGTGATCTGAGGGCTGGGAAAAACGCATGCAGACTATCATAAATATCATAATGACCGGTGATTGTGAGCTTAACCAGTGTGTTACTATAGAATCACTCAAAAGTTCACGAGAAGTCCCAATATATTAATCACCAAAGTTCGTCACACAAATCACAACTCACAAATTGCAAAAGCTCACACACTAAAACGTAAAACCATGTAGCCCATATATATAGGACTACACTTAACCTAAACCTAATAGTATTAGATAAACACAACTTCGATAAGATAAGGAAAAACACCAANTAATCACCAAAGTTCGTCACACAAATCACAACTCACAAATTGCAAAAGCTCACACACTAAAACGTAAAACCATGTAGCCCATATATATAGGACTACACTTAACCTAAACCTAATAGTATTAGATAAACACAACTTCGATAAGATAAGGAAAAACACCAAGAGAGAATATAGGAAACTTGAGATACAAGCTTATCCAACATTCTCCCCTTTAAGCTTGATCTTGCCTCCACACACATCTTGAACGCCTATTAAATCTCTCATTTCCACGAACCTTGACTTCCCAAGTGACTTAGTAAGTATATCAGCCTTCTGTTCATTACCTGAGACATGAACCACCTCTACTTGTTCGTTCTCAACACACTCTCTAATAAAGTGAAACCGTCTGTGTATATGCTTACTCCGGCCATGAAACACAGGGTTTTTAGACAAGGCGATTGCAGATTTATTGTCAACTTTTATCACAACCTTGTTACTATCTTCACCAATGGCTTCTCCCAATAAATCTTGTAGCCATATTGCCTGCTTTGCTGCCTCTGTAGCAGCCATGAATTCTGCCTCACACGATGACAATGCCACAATATCCTGCTTCGCTGAGCACCACGTGATTGGACTTTCCCCAAGGTAAAATATGTGACCGGTTGTGCTTTTACCATCATCATTATCAACATTATGAGAGCTGTCGCTATAACCCACAAGATCAAAGCTTCTGTTTCTCCTATAGTGTAGACCAAGAGTACAAGTACCACGAAGATATCTTATAACCTGTTTCAAAGCTGCACCATGAGACATTCTAGGTTCTTGCATATACCTGCTGAGAACCCCCACACTAAAAGATAGGTCCGGTCGTGTGTGTAGTAAATATCTGAGACATCCAATAGTGCGGCGGTACTCTCTTTCATCAATCCTGTCTTCATGTGTTGCTTTAGACAGGTTTGCGTTTAACTCAAGTGGTACATGAGTTAAGTTACACGAACTCATCTTAGCTTCTTCAAGTATTCTCTTAGCATATCTATCCTGCTTGAGAATGATCCCATCCTTTCTCTGCACAACTTCAATTCCCAGATAATAGGTTAGCAGTCCAAGGTCACTCATCTCGAAATTGATAGCCATTTCTCGTTTAAACTCCATTATGCTTCCAACAGATGAACCAGTGACCAATAAATCATCTACATATACCACGACAATGAGCAGTTCTTTGTTTTCTTCCTTGCGATACAGAGAAGGCTCCTTTGAACATCGGTTGAACTTTAGGTTTCTCAGGATCGTATTTAGCTTTATATTCCATGCTCTAGGCGCTTGTCGAAGGCCGTATAGAGCCTTCCTTAGTTTGTAAACCTTGTTTTCTTGTCCAGACACAACAAAACCTTCAGGCTGAGTAACAAATACATTTTCTTTGAGTTCCCCGTGTAAGAAAGCTGTTTTAACGTCAAGATGGTGTATCTCCCAACCATGTGTTGCAGCCAATGCAATGATAAGTCGTATTGTCTCGATTCTCGCCACCGGAGCAAACACCTCATCATAATCTATGCCGTGTTTCTGCACATAACCTTTAGCTACTAGACGCGCCTTATACTTGTTGATCGTTCCGTCGGCATTACGTTTGATTTTGAATACCCATTTCAAACCAATTGGTTTTACATCCGAAGGTAACTCAACAAGATCCCATGTGTTGTTCTTTTCTATCGAAGAAAGTTCATCTCTGCACGCATCTATCCAAACTTCCATCTCCTTAGCTTCATTGAAATCCCACGGTTCATCATTTATCGTCATCAATAGTTGTTCACTTTCTTCCTCTGCAAGTAATATGTAATCCTCTAGGTAAGAAGGTTTTGTTCTTACCCTGGTGGATTGTCTAGTTTGAGGTTGAGGGTCTTCGTTCTCACTGTCACCTTCTTCCTCTTCGTTTACTTCAGCAGTGTTTTCATCATTCGTGAGTGGTGTTTCTCCACTTCCTGAAACTTCACCCAACATTCTTTGATTTACTATAAACTCACTCTGTTCACCCTGGTCTAACCTCTCTGTCCAATGCCACACCTTGTCTTCCTCAAATACAACATCGCGGCTAACAATGATGCGTCTTGTCTTTGGATCAAGGAGGCGATAAGCCTTTGATCCTGGTTCTGTTCCCAAGTGGACAAGAGTTCTAGACCTATCATCAAGCTTTCTTCGACCTGCTTTCTCTGTTCTTGCATGACAGACACACCCAAATACTCTTAGATGTGAGAGATTTGGTTTTCGAGTCTTTAAAGCTTCGTACGGAGTCTCCTTTTTTAAAGATTTTGTTGCAACTCTGTTGATCAAGTACGTTGCGTGTCTTATTGCTTCACCCCAGAGTTGATTTGGTAGGTTCATATGCTTCAAGATGCTTCTTGTCATTTCAAGTAAGGTTCGGTTTCGTCGTTCCACAATTCCGTTTTGTTGAGGAGAATAGGGTGCAGTCAAGTGGCGACTTATACCTTGCCTTTCACAATATGATTGAAAGTCTTGAGACACAAACTCACCTCCTCTGTCAGTTCGCAATGTCTTCAACTCAGCTTTAGTCTCTTGCTCCACACGTAACTTGAAAATTTTGAATTTTTCAAGTGCTTCACTTTTTTCTCTGATCAACACTGTCCACATATAGCGTGAGAAGTCATCAATAAGGACAAAGATGTATCTTTTGTGGGCTGGTGTTGGTGGAGAAATAGGACCACAGAGTTCTGCGTGTATTAGTTCCAAAGGTCTTGATGCTCGATAATTAGTGGCTTGAGGAAAGGGTTTCCTGGCTTGTTTGGCCTTTAGACATGATACGCAAGTTTCTTTGTTGCTGTCAACTCTAGGAATGCCTGTAACTAGCTCCTGCTTGATCATGTTTTTCAATTTTTCTTTGTTGATGTGACCTAACCGAGCATGCCACAGGGAGTTGTTGTCATATGTTGTCGCTTGTAGACATTCTGCAACATGTACTTGCAGTATAACCTTATAAAGTCGATTCTTTGACCTTGTGGTTTCAATCATCAGGTTTCCAAATTTGTCAACCAACTTTAGCATATTGTCCTTCATCTTTACCTCACAGCCAACCTCCGTGGCTTGACCCAACGATACTATATTGCTTCGTAATGCCGGTATGTAGTATACATCGTTTAACACTTTCCTTCCTTCACCTATGATGAATCGTATCGCACCTTTTCCGCATATATCTATCTGTGAGTTATCTCCAAATCGCACTTTACCGGTGATGGTTTCATCCAGCTCACAGAAGAATATACGGTTTCCACTCATGTGGTTACTAGCACCGTTATCAAGATACCATACGTCCCTTGTATCTGTCTCAACATCAAAGTTTTTCGGATTCACATTCTTTTCATTCAAGTAAACGACTTCATTCATCATTAATGCATCAGCTTCTCGTGTATCATCTTCTTTCCTTTCATTTCGCTCAACGGTTTCTTGAAGTTTCAACATCTTGTCCGGGCAATCTGTTGCATAGTGTCCAACTTTATCGCAATTGAAACAGGTAATGTGTGAGGCGTCTCCTACACCTTTTCCTTGCTTATATGCTTCTCTTTGTGCCTGAAAGCTTCCAAAGCGGCCACGGCCTCTACCTCTCAAGTTAGCTCTACCGCGTCCTCGTCCTCTGTTGTTGTAGCTATTACCATAGTTTTCTTGACTAGAATTTGTATTAGCATACATCAACTTTCCAGATTCATCGCTTGCTTCGTCGTCATCCTCTGCAATTCTCTCTTCAAAGGCCTTCAATCTTCCCACAACATCATCAAATTTTATTGTATTAAGATCAAGCATCTGCTCAAGTGATGCAACCATATGAACAAATTTCCTCCTTGGTAGACTCTTTAAGAACTTCTTCACAAGCTTTGGTTCTTCAATTACTTGTCCAAGAGAGGCGGATTTTGACGCAAGTTCAGATAGCTTGTTGCTGAAGGCATTGACTGTGTCTCCATCCTTCATCTTCAACTTATCAAATTCAATCATTAGAGTTTGCAATCTAGCTTCCTTGACTCTTTCGGCTCCAACATGTACCGTCTTTATCGCATCCCAGATTTCTTTTGCTGAATTTAACTCACCAACTTGCATTATCAGGGCTTCTGGTATAGACTGAAACAAAAGTGCAGTCGCCATGTTGTTTTTCTTTACATCATCGTTTCCTGGATCAATTGACTCCCATACTTCGCTGACCTTGAGAACTACTTTCATCCTGATGGCCCAAACTGTGTAGTTTGTATCAGTTAACATAGGGTATTTGATAGTTGCAGGTTTCGTATCTTTGTGCAATACGATCTCATTCTTCGTTTCTTCCATCGCAAGGTTTCAAGATTCTTTTTAATCCTGTTGCTCTGATACCAAATATAGAATCACTCAAAAGTTCACGAGAAGTCCCAATATATTAATCACCAAAGTTCGTCACACAAATCACAACTCACAAATTGCAAAAGCTCACACACTAAAACGTAAAACCATGTAGCCCATATATATAGGACTACACTTAACCTAAACCTAATAGTATTAGATAAACACAACTTCGATAAGATAAGGAAAAACACCAANTAATCACCAAAGTTCGTCACACAAATCACAACTCACAAATTGCAAAAGCTCACACACTAAAACGTAAAACCATGTAGCCCATATATATAGGACTACACTTAACCTAAACCTAATAGTATTAGATAAACACAACTTCGATAAGATAAGGAAAAACACCAAGAGAGAATATAGGAAACTTGAGATACAAGCTTATCCAACAGTTACTCCTTAGACCACCTCCAATGGAGGATCCAAAACACTTCTAGTGTTGTATCTAAGTATTTATGAGCTAAAATTTAAATAAAAAAGACACAAAATAGATGGATATGGTTCTACATTTAGAGCTATTTGGAACCAATTCTAAATGACACGTGTCGTTTTGTGATAAAACATAAAAAAAATTGTTCTTTGTTTCTCCAGTTTCTCTCCCTTCCGTGAACCAAAGAAGAAAACCTTGGCAAATGATCAGTCCTCTCCATCCTCTATCTACTCCGTTTTTTTCAATTGAGAACACAGGTGAGTTCACAACAAAGTGATTGGTCTCTCTCTGTTCCATTTCTTTATATATTGAAGAGGATTAGAATTGGAATCTGGATTTAAAGAGGAATTAGGGTTTTATTAGGAGTTTATAGCGATGTCCAATTGTCGACTCTACTCATAAAGATGAAATTTTTCTACGTATTCATCATCTCTTTTCTTCTCATCCTTAACTCCAAGAGAGTGTGTTAAAATCCGCAGCTTCTTCAGGTAAAAAAAAGGTTGAACCTTTGTTGTTGTTTTAAATAGCAAAGAAACAGAGTATGGTTTTGTGTATTGTCTTTGTTGGAATGATTTTATTCTTAAGAGTTTAGGGTTTAATCTTATAATGGGATCTTCAAGAAAGAACCAAGTTTCATTTCAGAAAAGATCTTTGTGTCCGAGAACTAGCAAGATGAACCTTTTTTTTTTTAGAAAATACTTAAAACAAAGTGAGATGCAGTTTAGAAGTTTTAACCCAGTTATGTTTTGATCTGTGTGGCTTGCGTAGTTGGAAATACAGACGAGAACGTGGAGGAACCAGCTACAAGTGTGAAGTTTCAGAGATATGTGACATTACCTGGTTGTTCTACTACGCTCTCATTTCTCGGCATTAGTCAGTTATCTTTCACTCTGAGACTTCGTGTGATGTATCTATATGTAAAAATGCATCAACTTTTGACAGGGTTTAGGAAGAAAAAGTGAACAATCACTGGTGTCAAAGTCTATGCTGCTGGTTAAGTAACCATTTTTTGGTATCTAACAGAGTAAGTAGTTAACTTTGTAACTCTCTTGACTTGTGTGAAAACAAACAAACCCACGATTTGTTTGGTTGTGACTATCAGCATTACAATTGGTGCTGGTCAGCTGGACATGCTCTTCATGTGTTCGTCAATGGCCAGCTTGCAGGTAATATAAAAAACAATGGAAGCTTCTCTTGTTTCATCTTTGCTAGTCTAGTCTTGTAACTTGACAACAATGTTGGTACTTATTTGTTTCATCTAGTCTGATTCTGTTTTATTTCGAAAAGGTTTAACAAGAGAACCAAAGTTTAATCACTTGAAAGCATTACATAAAGTCATCAAGCTAAGTGAGTCAGCTTTGGTTTCGTATTCATCCATTCTCTCTTAAATTTCTCAAACGTAAAACTAACTGATGTGATCAATGCTTGGTAGAGTGAGATTGACTTAAGTGAATTACTATCTTGATAGTTAACTACTAATCGTTTAGTTTTACTTATGATTTCTCAATCTATGTTTTATGTTTTTATGTCATGTTAATTTAAATTTTATGTAATTCAATTATTATAAGTTTTTTTATTATAGATTGTGATGCAAGTAATCTCTTATTACAAAATTTCAAATTTTTGAAATTTAGAACTTTTCCTTGGTTCTATCATTGGAGGGATTAAAACTAAACAAGTATCTAAAACTTTTAATTTAATTATTTTTACTTAAAAAATTGATTTAGAACTCTAATGGTGGTTCTATTGTTGGAGATGGTCTTAGTAACCTAGGTTCTATAGTAATATTAGTCCTAGGGTTTGGGGCGTCCAAGTGTAGTTCCAATAAACCCTTTTCCATTGCAGTCCAAATCCAACGGTTGATAGGGCCGGATTCATCCTTGTAACTTATGACCTTATTAACTACACGACACAGAGAGAATGTCTTGATGACGGGAGAGGTGTTTAGGAGAAGTGTCTTTTCTACGAAATCAGAGAAGCGTAGTGAACCGTTTTTTGCTTCTTCTTCGTTGGGATAGACAACCATCGACTCATCAAAACTAAGGCTGTCTACAAGAGACAGCAGATTCATCCACCTCTTGGACAGAACCGATGTGGAAGCAGCCACTTTTGTCGGAACTAAAGACAGGATTTTGCCAAGAATCTCATCTGGCAAACTGCTGATTAAATCCCCCATAAAATTACCACCAGCCAAATTTAGTTTCCACACGTGGATAAAGAAAGTAGAAGCATTCCAATCTTAGAAAAACAAACCCTAGAAAAATAACCTCGTGGTCGCGCAGTTTCTATATATAGTAGTAAAAACTTTTTTTGTCGGCAAAACTTTCATTAATTGATGCCCAATGGGCATTGTTACAATATTGGTATAAGAGACACGTCATTCATGTCCACGTCCACGTCAGTAACTTACAATGTTTACAGAGTTCAGCCCCAAACTAAAAAGAAGTAATCAAGAAGCTTCGTCATTCATGTCCACGTCCGCTAGGTTTAAGAGACACGTCGCGTCACTCATGCAGATTACACAATCTCCGTAGACCTTCACCACGGCGAACTGCTACTCGGATTTCTTTTATCCGCCTTAGCATCTCTTCAAGAAACAGAGTTTAAGAAGCTCTAAACACCGATACCAGTCGAGTCACCTTCCCTGCTCATCTACAATCTTCAACAACATCTTTCTACTGGAGTCTGGAGCAGGACTAGGACTGGTCCTGGGTCAAGTCCGTTGAAACATTCGCCTCAGACCTCCAAAAATTTTGAAAATTTTTACATTTATATATACTCCAAAATTTTTTTATTTAGACTCCTAAATTAGTTTAAAAAAATTTAGTTGAAATTTTTAAAGAATCTTCTAGGATCCCTGGTCTGGAACGTCTCTGAACTCGTTAAAACCGCCCACTAAGGACTTCTGCATGAAGCAGACACGATATAATCAAGAGGTGTGGGTCTGATTGATTTAAAGTTCAGATAAATTAGAAATTTCGGAGAGTCACTCTGAAATTTATTAGTCAACCCTAAATCAAAGAGACTTTGAAGAACAACTATGATTTTGAGGTTCAAATCACAACAAAATTGCCTAAGCGAAATCGAAAATCCCATTAAACAGAAAGGAAAATCGATCAAAACTATTTTACAAACCAACAAAAAAAGCATAATTCTCTCTCTTCATTATGAGAGAATATTTGATGTGGTAAGAATGAAAGAAAAAAAGAAAGATCTGTGATGAAACTTTTTTGAAAATTATGAATTTCTCTGATTTAATTTTTTTTTAACACAATCTATGATTTAATTAAATTACTTTAGAGCGTCAAAATTTAAATATATATAAATATATATTTAATTAAAAATTCTACCAAATACTTTAGAATTACTCTGAATTATTAATTTTTGAAACAAAATATCACTCCAAATTATAAAAGTCATTACTTAAATATTCACATTAACGAAAAAAAAATCAAATAAATTTCAAAATCAGAATTTTGTAAACTAAATTTACATATTTTAAAAAAATATTTAAACAATAACAGATTCCTGATTTCAATATTAACCATTCCAGATCTGAAATTGAATACACCTCCATAATATGTAATCATCCAGTATATTAGCCTAAAATATTTATTTTATTTTATATTTTTTTTTTTGACCCAAATTCCTGAAAAAATTAACAAATTAGATTTACGAAAATAAACTCTTTTTTTTTTGCAAACAGATTTTAGTGATACACTTTTATTCGTTAGTAGAAAGTAGAAACCAAAGTAACAGAGAGGCGCACCAGTTTGCATCACTCATCTCCTTCGCGACAACAACAACAACAACAACAAAAATCGAATCCCACAAAATAAGGGTTTAAGCAAAAACCCTTAGAGCTCATATGCCCAAATGCCCATTCCCAATCCGAATCACCCACTTCCTCAACCAAAGTCGAATCCTTTCGACCAACCCAATTAAATTCACCACTTCTACTTCACTTTCCCCAAACCAATCCATGGAATCCGAACCGGAGGAACCTCCAATCTCGGAGAAGATGTTCAAATCCGCTCCCAAGATGGGCTCTTTCAAGCTCGGCGACTCAACACTCTCCACAACGATCGAAACCCACGCCACTCAATTCCATTTCGCCGCGGTAGAGAATCTCTTAACTCGAATTAGACTAGAGAACAGAACGGTTAGAGAGCACACCTTCATAGTCATATTCAAATCTTACGGGAAAGCACATTTACCTGAGAAAGCTGTAGACTTGTTTCATAGAATGGTCACAGAGTTTCAATGCAAACGTACGGTTAAGTCCTTTAACTCTGTCCTCAACGTGATTATCAACGAAGGTCTTTACCACCGTGGATTAGAGTTTCATGATTATGTTGTGAGTTCCAACATGAACATTTGTCCTAATGGGTTGAGTTTTAATCTGGTTGTTAAGGCTTTATGTAAGTTGGGGCTTGTGGACAGAGCTGTTGAGGTCTTTAGGGCGATGCCTGAGAGGAAGTGTTTGCCTGATGTGTATACTTATTGTACTTTGATGGATGGGTTGTGTAAGGAGGAAAGGATTGATGAAGCGGTTTTGTTGCTTGATGAGATGCAGAGTGAAGGAATCTCACCGAGTTCTGTTACTTATAATGTGTTGATTGATGGGTTGTGTAAGAGAGGGGATTTGAGTAGAGTGACGAAGCTTGTGGATAACATGTTTCTCAAGGGGTGTGTTCCTAATGAGGTGACTTACAACACGCTTATTCATGGGCTGTGTCTCAAGGGGAAGTTGGATAAAGCTGTTAGTCTCTTGGAGAGGATGGTGTCAAGCAAATGTATTCCGAATGATGTCACGTATAGTACGCTTATCAACGGGTTGGTTAAGCAGAGACGAGCGGTGGATGCGGTTAGGTTGCTGGTTTCTATGGAGGAAAGAGGGTATTGTTTGAATCAGCATGTTTATTCGGTTCTTATAAGCGGTTTGTTTAAAGAGGGGAGAGGTGAGGAGGGTATGAGATTGTGGAAGAAGATGGGAGAGAAAGGTTGTAAACCCAATATTGTTGTGTACAGTGCTCTTGTTGATGGTTTATGCCGCGAAGGGAAGCCAGAGGAAGCTAAAGAGATACTTAACGGAATGATAAGTAATGGCTGCTTGCCTAATGCGTATACGTATAGTTCTTTGATGAGAGGGTTCTTCAAAGCAGGTCTAAGTGAAGAAGCGATGAAACTGTGGGGAGAGATGGATAAAACGGGATGCTCTCGAAACGAGGTTTGTTATAGTGTTCTAATTGATGGTCTTTGTGGAGTTGGGAAGGTAGATGAGGCTATGATGGTTTGGTCAAAGATGTTAACTACAGGGATCAAGCCTGATACGGTAGCTTATAGTTCGATGATTAAAGGTCTTTGTGGGATTGGCTCTATAGATGCCGCGTTAAGACTTTACCATGAGATGTTATGCCAAGAGGAACCCAAGTCGCAACCTGATGTTGTTACTTATAATATACTTCTCGATGGTTTATGTGTGCATAAGGATGTTTCTAGAGCAGTTGATCTGTTGAACTGTATGTTAGATAGAGGTTGTGATCCGGATGTTATTACCTGTAACATATTTTTGAAGAGTTTGAGAGAGAAGTCAGATTCTTGTGAAGAAGGGAGGGGGTTTCTAGAAGGGCTTGTTGTGAGGTTGTTAAAGCGGCAGAGAGTATCAGGAGCTTGTAAGATTGTGGAAGTAATGCTGAGTAAGTATATGGCACCAAAAGTTTCAACTTGGGGGATGATTGTTCCGGAGATTTGTAAACCGAAGAAGATCAATGCCACCATTGATAAATGCTGGAGGAACCTGTGTACTTAAAATAGCACTGAGGATTTTTGTTGCAGATCGCATCCTCCTCAAAAGGACTCCATGCTTGGGAATGTTTTAGCTTCTGGTGTTGTGGAATACCAGAGATGCTCTGAAAAACAGGTAGACAATCAAACATGACTTTTCTTTTTTTAATTTGTCCTTGTGTTTCAGCTAATGAATCTCATTGCTACGTCATGTTTATTATGTTCTTCCATAAACTGCTTACTATTTCATCTGCAGTTGTGTGAAGTATGTTTGGTCCCTCCATGGTTTAAATTTCGAGCTCCTGTGGATAGAGAAGAAGTCTGTGAAGATGATCAGGATACTCCATAAGCGAAGAACATGTTTTGGCCCCTTTATGAATAAACCTTTCGTTAGTCAGCTGCTTTTTTGTATCAACACTTGTAGTGGCTTTGTTGAGATCAGAGTTAGGTTATCTGCATAGAGCATTCTTTGCCTATATAGAAACAAGACATTAGTATTTAAGCTAACCATGCTCATATAACATTTAAATTAAATCAGATTTAATTCTATACAAATGCATAGTCCCAAACAAAGACACATCCCACTGTACATTCATGGGAGTCGGTATGATAAAAGACTCCTCTTTGGTAATATTCCTAAACCGAAATCAAACCGGAATCGACAACCAAAAATTGAAAAGTCCGGTTTGGTTATGTTCTGTAAATTCGTGAGGAATAAGAGGCTTCACTGAGCACAATGGCTTCAAAATTCGTTTTTAGTTTCACAGATTCCATCTAGCACACTCCTTTTGATTCTCCGAAACCTAAGAAACAGTTCGTTACACCAGAGAAAGTTCAAGCAGCAAAAAAAAGTGTTAAACCATGGAGAAGGTTTCAGCAGCTTGCGCCATGGATTGGAGCATCAAGCTCGAGAAAGCCCTCCGTTCTAAAAACCCAGGTGCTTAACATCCTCAATTATTTATGCCATGATCTAAAGTACAAGTCTTTAGGATTAAAAGAGTTTGCTTTAACTTTATTTGCTAATGTGTTACGTTCTTGTTTGTCTTCTCTAGGACTAAGAAAGTTAAAAGTTTTGTTCTTTTTCTTTGATTATTAATTCAGTTAGAGCTGTTGAAGTCATCTTGGAGACTGGTGAGAAGCTTAAACAGTGGAGCAAAGAACCAGAACCTGGAACTGCTGTTTACAGTTTATTTGGTTTGGTTCCTGAAGAAGATAGGCTTTTTTACAATACTATCCTACTGCGGCTAGTTGATGCGTTTTGCTTTGGAGATAAGGTTGTTAAGGTTGCTGTTGTTCGGGTGTTTATGTCTATGTTCAAGCTAAGCCGAGGGAAGAGTAAAAGCGAATGCGAAAGTTGGTTTTTGTCAAAGGCTAAGGTGTATAACCACTTGGAAATGCTTAAACGAGTGAAGAGTGTTTATGACAAGGGTGATGCCGAGGCAAAAGCTTTGGCTTTGATTCTGTTTGGTTGTTGGAGAGATTTCGCTAACGAGTTTGCTCCAGTACGGTACTTAGTTTTCACCAGTATGGTTTCTTCAAATGATCTTGAGGTAAACATAAATCAGTTTAGTTCTTTTTTGTTAATGTGTTTGCTAGGGATTTTTGTTGTTGTTATACGTAGCTATGAATTTTTTATCCTTCACAGGCATGTTAAGATTCTTTAAGTTTGATTAGCTCTGCTTTGTCCAAGTCTTAGGAAAACTTGGTAGTTACTAGATTGGATTATCCCTTGTGAAAACTTAACTGTCTAACCTATTTTATACCTTTGCAGGTACGAGCATCTCTGTTTGCTGCAGGTTACTTCTGTGAAGTAGCAGATGACTTTGCATTGGTTGTTTTGGGCATGTTAAATGACATGGTGAAGTTCCCGGAATTATTGCCAAAGACCAGGTTAGCTGCTGTGCGAGTATTTGCAAAAATGGGATGCTCACATGCAATTTCTAGTAGAGCGTTCAAGGTTCTTTGTCTATTTCTTATTTTTATCTGCTTCATATGCTCAAAGGCTTTCTTGAGATTTCAAAGTATAGTTGATTGGAGTATCTATTATTTCTTTTACTAAAATCTGTCAGTGTACTGACTGTCATAGCATTTACATGAACTGAAGCCACTTGTATTAAATTTCTATCAACCACTATTTCGCTACAGATATGTATGACGCTAATGTTGGAGTTCTCAAAAGAAGACAGTTTGGTTCCATTTCTGGTTTCCTTGACTAAGCTTGCTTCAAAATCTACTCAACTTTCTTCTGAACTGGTATGTTAGTTTTGCTTCTTCTTTTTTTTCGCCTTAATAAAAAATTAACTTCGTAGACAAAATGAAAATTTCCCAGACTTGCAGTTTACTTCTCCTGTTTCTATTCCGACATTTCCGAGAGTTTGAGTTTTCACTGGATATTTGATGGAAAGTGAAAATGGTTTATCGCTTTTGCTTGGCTCACTAGTATAGGAACCTGACCTTTTTTATCTCTTTTTTTTTTTAAAGAGAGAAGTCTAATGTTATCGAATGTGTATGCAGGCAGAGGTTATCATGCCATTTCTGGGTGAAGATAAGAGCTCTCATGTTCGAGCTGCGGTACTACGATGTCTCGACTTTCTCATTAAAAGAGGGATGTGCTTCTCTCTTGTCCATGAAAGCAAAACTGCAAATTTTTACAGCTTACTTAAACAAGCAGAGCTCTCACCAGATATGCAGCTCAAAGCTCTTCAAATTTTTCAAAAGGTGATTAATAAGCCACATTATTTAGTCTCATTTGGGTTAAGTTAAAGATGCTCATTATCTTTTATCCGAATCCAGATACTTGTCTACAAAATATGTTCGGCTGATGCGTCTGAATATCATCAGCTCATAGCTATTGCTGAGAATGCATCTCATTCTCAGATCTTCTCAAGCAACTCTTTAGCTATCAGTATTTTGGTGGGTATCTGGAAAGAAATAGTTCGGACAGCAGAAGTAAGATCAATTGATGTATCTTCAACATCCCTTCCTCTGCAGCTCGTTGTATTAGTCATGGACAGGCTTACCTTACTGGCAAGATTGTGTTCTGATCCCTGTCAAGAGGACTTTGCACTAGTTGGTGAGGTTCAGGACCTCTTCAATGTTCTCCACCTATTAGTTGGAAAACATTCTGAAGTGAGGCTGCTAGTGCTTGATAAAGTCAGATTATTCCTAGATTACATTGTGAACTTAACTGATGGCCTCAGAAAATCAGATGGAGCTCATGAACTACTGTTTGGTGTTATCAGTTATAAAAGTAAAAGAGGGGTGGTCGTGAGGTCAGAGGTTTTAGCATCAATACACAAGTTCCTGATAGTGTTTTTGGAGAATCTCGAGGGTGATAAAACTGTTCTGTTTCAAGTTTATGAAAAGGTGAAGTGTATCACTGAGTGTGTGCGTTCGTGTACCTTCTTTGATTCTCACACACAATTGATATTTGCTTTGCTATTACACTCACCAATTCTTTGGGGATTTCCTGTGAATGAGATAGGAACCAATGATGATGCAGGCGTCTCACTTGTTGCTGATATATATAACTATGGAATCGTTTCTCTTGAATGTTCGACTCATATTTTAGCAGAGAAAAACTACTGGCCTGCTTATAGAGCTGGAGTTTACGCAGCACGTTTGGGTGCATGGGTCACATCTGCCTTGATTTTTGACAAGCTAAAGACCAACGTCCAGTCTGATATTAACTCTTTCTGGTTAAAGTCATTAACCTATTTATCTCATGCTGAAGGGAAACTGCAATTGCTTCTCATGCCAAGTGATAGTGTCAAGTTAGTCAATTGGTTGAGAAGCAACAGTTATTTACTAGAACTCTCAAAAGATGCATCTGGAGAGTTTGCCCACTGCGTAGCTCTTCATGAAGCATATATGAATTTACAATCGTCTCTGGGAATGTTGGGTAATATGAGTGAAGTGTTCTGTTTCCAAACTTGGTTCTTGGTTCTAAAGACACGGGTGTTTGAAACTGTGATTGATCTCGTTGAATGCTTCGGACTGCTTAACCAAGATATCGGCAACAAGAAGCAGGTGGAGGGAAAGATTTTGACTGGTTGTAATTCTCTGCAAGAGCTTCCTCGTATCTGTAATCAGCTTCAAAAGTTGGCGAAGGAGTTTGATATGTTAGCGACGTGTTTTATTGACATAGACTGTAGCAGCTCTAGTATCATCACAACTCTTTCACTGAGCTGTTCAGTTCTGGCTTTTGCTACTGGAGTTGTTCTTTTCCTTCCTGGTTTTCCTTTTCATGAAAGTTTGCCTTCTTTCACTTCACCAAGTGGTGTTTGCTCGAGGCTTGTACAAGATTTAGTTCAAAGGCTGTGGAAGGTGGATCCTAAAATCTGCGAAGTGCTTAGTATACTCGTGAAGGAAAACGAATCACTAGGCTGTTCCCACCTACAGCCTAGGAATCAAGTACTGAGAGTCTGTAACAAAGTGAACATGCTGCTCGCTATTTGCAGAGATGCTCTTGCATGCATTCATGGACTGCAGAATTACTCAAATTCAATCCACAAAGAGAACATTATATCTGAGATCACTAAGAGTTGCCGGAATCTCCTTTCACAAGCAATTATGAAATGGATGCAGATTCCTTTTGGCATTCCAAAGTATTTCTTTAATATAAGGTAATCTCTTATTTCTGGTTTATAGATAGTTCTAACTAGGATTGTAAATTGTATTCTCCATAGTCCTGATCACCAAATCACTACTGGATTACCGATGATATGTTTTCATTTGATTTGAAATTTCAGGCCTTGTGTTGGTACTGAGCTATTTGCTCTAAGTTCAGACAGAAGCAAGAGTACTCCTGATACAGTTACAGTGGAACAAGGCTTTCAACTGTCTCTGGATCTTTGTCTTCAGTTGAAAAACATACAACAGCCGAGAGTCCCTGTTCGACTAACCAAACTGTATTGCCTCCTCTACACTAAACTAGCGTATCACACCCCTACTCAACTCGGTGAAACCAAAAGAAACCAGAAGTCTTATACCCCTTGGAGAGATGAAGATCTGGTGGAAATGAGTAACAAGCTGTTTCATCATGCTGTTACAAAGTCTAGTAAGAAACCGGAAGTTTCAGGTCGATTTGATTGGAGCAGTGGTGTTTCTGCGGTTGTGCAGTTCGAACCAAATGAGAGAGGACAAGGGTTTTCGAGTTGCTTGCTAGATGTTTCGCGTTTCCCAGTTGGTTCGTATCAGATAAAATGGTTAAGCTGTTGTATTGATCAGCACGGTTCTTACTGGAATCTTCTACCTCTCAATGGCAAACCTGTGTTTACCGTTAAGAAAGCTTCATGACGAGAATCTAAAACCAAGTGTTCACAGGTCCTAGTTTTGGTATGGCGAAAGATTAAAGAGCCAAGGAGAATATGGTTTGGGAGGAAGCAAAGATAGAAAGAGAGACATTGGCTTGGTGTAGAAGCTCAAGACTAGTCTCGAGATTTGCAGCTGCAATATGATTTTTGAGTAACTAATTGGAAATCGTTCTCAGGTCTGGTCAATGTGCATCCAAGGATTTTGGACATGGACCATTTTGTTAATGGTTTTGGTTCTGAGAATACTAAACATAAGAGCGTAAAGACACCATAGAGGCATAGAATCTCAAATGTTTAATTATCAAGCCGTCAGAGAACTAAACAATGATTATAGAGGGTTTTAGCTTTTAAGGGTGGTAATTATGTTGTTGATTATGGTATGTATTTCGATTGTAGGCTGGAATCCATCTTGATATTGTAATTAGCTAGACACCTATGTGCTAGTAAACATATTTTGAATAAACCGAGGATCCAACTATGTACACTAGCCGTATATAAAAAATTTATGAAATCTAGCTAATGTTCAAGAAAGAACATATAGAAATGGATCTTGTCAAGCTTCTTAAAACACTAGCTTAACTGGATTAGTTAAATTTCAAAACTTATTTTTGAATGGGAGTATTCTATAGAGAATTATTGTTTAGGTGGGTGTCTAAACCTATGATTTTGAACGTTTAAATTGATTTAAAAATTTGTTTTAGAAAATTTGATTCGCTTAGACCTGATGTGACGACTAGACGGACATATAGACACCACCTAGACCGATTTAAGAACACTGATCAAAATTAAACAAAGCAAATTAATAAAAAAAAATTGTTCTTATATTTAGGAGCAAAATCATGGTCAGAAGTAAATTTATGCTTCATTATTAAAAGAACTGTAAAATTCTGATTGCAAAAACAAAGATTTTTAAGACTTTAAAACAGTATGAAGTCATTAAAGCTTTTTTACAAGAAACAAACAATTTGAAGTCTCCACAACTTTTTAAAATTTGCTATCAAATCACTTATATACAGTAACCCAAAAGATCAGTATTACTATTTTTTATTCAGATTTTTTTTATATATGTTTTTTTTTTTTTTTTTTTGTCATCCGTTTTAAATATGTTTATAACTTAGATATTGTCAAAAACGTTTATATATATTATCTAAACTTTAGTACTATACATTTTGTAACTCTGTAATCTTTTTTTTTTGTCATCAATATAAACAAATTCATACAACTCTGTAATCTTATTTTTAGGTCTTTTTATTCGACATTTTTAATACATAATAATTTATTTTTTACGGTTTACTTTCTTATTAATGTTAATGCATACTAGTATATTTTGAGTTTGGTACAATAAATTCAAAATCTGAAATAATCAAATAGAGAATCTCTTACATTTAAAAAAAAAAAATTCTACAGTTTGCATACAATACATTTAAGTTTTTTATTTAGTTATACTATAGAAATTATATTTTTTATGATAATTTTTTTATTTTCATGTTGTAATTAAAAGATATACTTTATCACCTATCATTTTAGTATATTTGAGGATTTTATAAATAAATACATCTTTACGTTAAAATAATTTAGAACTATTAATTTCTTAATTTATATTAAAATAAGAATTTTTGGTAAGATTTTTATTTTTTCTCAACAGATTTTTTATATTAACACAAACATTAAATTTATAGTCAAAATTGATTTTCATTAATATATCAATGAATTACTAAATTTTCAAAGTTTTCTAATAGCATATTTTGTAAATAACACATGAACAAGTGTTAGTTACATACTATTATATTTTGTATATAATCATTTCTAGATAGTATACTATTTTGTGTTTCAAAATAAAGAAAATAATAATATGTAGTTGTAGATATAAAACTTTAACAATATGTTGATAATTTTATTTTTGTATAAAAACATTACATAATTTCTCATATTTTTTAATAAATAGAATATCAACATAGATCAAGTTTTGTTATATTCTTTAATTAATGTTAATGACAAAGTAGATAGATACATATTATTTTTCATATAATATTAAGTTCATGAAAAGGTTATAAGATGACTTGTATGACTATTGTTGTGTGGCCATTGGGAAATTTTAAAGTGATTAATACATATGTATTATATAATTTATTAAATTGAATCAAGATTTGAGAGATCTTAATAATCTAATTTTTTATTTATTTATTATCCCATATTTTTGGTCTAACATTTAATTATAAAAAAATAACCTTAATGAACTAATACAAAACTTCCAAATTTTCAGTGGCATATTTTGTAATATCCCACACAAAACAAATGTTAGTTTCCAAGTGTAGTTTTTTAAGAGTAAATGGAAATGGATTTGATTTCATTTAGTGAGGAAAATGAGATAAACTTAATTAGTTGGCATGTGAAGATTATTGACCAGGACTACCAAAACAAGGCAAGAAGCAACAGAAATAATTATATAAAAACGAGTGAACTTGTTGACAACAGCATCAACAACAACAACAGGAGCAAATCTTTGAAATGAAAATTTGTTTGTGAATAGAGAAGACGAAGAAGTCAATATTAAGTTTTGTGTAAGTTCACACTGCATTAAGCATTGCTATATTTTATAATTGAGTCATTAAGCATTACTTTGTTTGATTCTTGTGGTTTTTGCTGTGAGCATAATATCTCGAATTTAGACTTGAGACTAGACAAAATATTAAATATAGATCTGAATCTGATATGTAGATCAGGGCTATATCATTTGCCAATTTTATCGTTGTCCTCGCACAACCAATATGTGATTATTATTTTTCTAATGAGAAGAACATTATTAGCTGGGAGACATTATCAATGCACATTTCATGAGTTCCACCTTTAAATGTTTGTTGATGTGCATGATAAATTGATTTATGAACTTTATTTTGCTTATGACAAAAACATCGGCCTAAATAATTTTCACAATACTAATTAGTTCAAATTTTAAGTTGTAACAAGCTAAAAGAAAAGTTTTTAATATGGAAGAAAACGTTATTGTATGCCATTGACGTTGAGTTCAGGTTTGCAATTAGTTAACTTTGTGTAACCTCCGTAATTTGCATCCATGTACTAATGTTTTGATTGCTAAACTATTTTAATTGACCTTTAGATGCATATATATAGGTAGATACTGGGAACCTAATTGTTTTACAACCTTACATGAATCTAGACTAAATTTTTCAATTTTGCTATGAGAATAAAAGGCCATTTTCATATTTCTGGTGAATATAATCATGTCACTGGAGTTCTTTTATTGCTTCTTTCTCTGTTCATTAAAAAAACTTAGTATGAAGCCTTTTCAGTTTTGAAGAGAAAATCTCTTTTTATCTATAATATATTACTAGATTTCTTTTTCCTTGCGTAGTAATAAAAAATACATAATTAAATCTTTCGTTTCGTTCTTGTTTCACATCCGCAGGCCTCAGATACAACACCATCGGAATCAAACAGTATTTGGGATTTGAACAATAGAGAAACTAACAATCGACAACCATTACATAAAGGTAACGTTTACTGATCTTCGTTACTTTAATGTTACAACAATTTTCCTGATAGTTTATTAGAGAGGAGAGTGTTTTGTTCTCGTGCCAACGTTATAGTTTTATAAAAACTCCATATTAAAATATACTTCGTCATAAAGAAGGTGTAAATGCAGATGATACCTAACACAAAAATATTTGGTTTCACCCTCAATTCTAAAAAACATGCGTTATTAGAAAATAAGGTTAAAGCACACATTTCATAAATATATGATTAAACCTTTCTCAATCGTCATTTGGATTTCTATTGATTTTATACCATTTTAAGCAATAATTTTCAGATAATAGAAAGATGAGAAAATGACAGAGTGACTGAATATATTAATATCTTCAGTTGGAAGAAAAATCCAAAGAAAAGGGAGAAAACTCTTACCAAAAACCTATCCACCACTCAAACCTTCCCAACCAAAACCACATGACTTGGTTTACTCTTGTACATTTTAAAAAGTAATCTCGTAAAGCATGAATCTAAACCTTTATGCACTTTTTTGATGAGCTTCTATTTACCGCAAACAAACTAGCATATCTATCTCTTACTTCTCTCTATTTAAAAGAAATCAAATCACATAAATATATTACAAATTTACATCAAAGACGGCTGGTTTACCGGTAAATATCATAAAATTCATCGTTTAGAAGGTATTCAGGTCTAGAACGTTTCGTGATTATGAAAAGGAGATCAAAGAATGTAAAAGGGTGCAAAAAGTGTGACTCCCTATAGAAAAGACAAAAGTTTTGTATAATGTTTCATTGGTAACCTTAGTTAGCCCCTTCTCTTTACATGTGTTAACAACATACATATATATAAATGTCTCACAACGCCATTACCTTCAGCCAGTCTCTTATTGTTGTTGGCTCATTGGATTATTTTAGGAGGAAACCATGGAGATAAGGAAAACACAAGTGGTCGTGCCTGTTTTGTTGGTCGTCATGACTCTTATGGTGACTCAAGTGGTCTTCGCCGGTAAAGAATCCCTTCACGAACGACATATGGCGGAACTACAAGCGGTTAAGGCATCTTTGGTTCGTCGAAATCTACCGGCTTTCGTATCTCCTCCTCCTACTCCTCCTCAGGTATCTTCAAAAGGTTTTGTCATTACAGTTTTTTGGTTTGATTATATGAAATGATAACATGATATGTGATGCATGTATGGTGTAGGCAGTACCCGGTCCACGCGTGTATCAAGTGATATCATACGGTGCAGATCCCACAGGGAAAGCGGATAGCACAAATGCGATATTGAAAGCTATGGAAGATGCGTTTGATGGTCCAAACCATGGAGTTTTGATGGAAGGTATCAATGATCTTGGAGGTGCAAGAATCGATCTTCAAGGTGGCAGCTACTTAATCAGCCGTCCTCTCCGGTTTCCTTCAGCCGGTGCCGGAAATATCCTCGTAAGTATCTCTTATTAAATGCAAGTTTTTTAAATAGAGTTAGATTTCTTCCGTACGTGTGCATCTACATGAACAAGCATGTCCATATAAATATATGTCTTCATGGCCCATCCATGTGACGTGATGTATGACACTGCATCCATACGTTAGATAAATATTTTAAAGCACGAAATTCTCAGTAGAATCTTAGTTTGAACGTAAACGTTTGGTGAACCAAACGAAAAGTAAGTAAATGATCATTATCTTTCTTTCACGAGAATAGAATGATTCTTTTCTTTATATGCATGTTTCTCTCATAATTTCAACATTGTGACTTTTTTTTCTGATTTCCCAACAAAAAAGTTTCTTCTGTTAATTTTTTTATTAGATTTACTTCCTTTTTATCATATTACTTTGCATTAAAATATAGAAAAAAAATCAGATGAAAAGGAATCTCAACTTGATTTTTTTTTCTACATGTTCTCTCGTAATTTCATTATTAGTCAGGACATACATTTTTTTTTTTTGTTATATATTGAAATGAATTAATAGTAATGTTCTTTTATTGACTTGTGTAACACATCAGATTAGCGGAGGAACATTAAGAGCATCAGATAATTTTCCAGTCGATAAATACTTAATCGAACTCAACGACGAATCATCAAAGTTACAATACATCTTCGAATACATAACTCTTAGAGATCTTCTCATCGACTGCAACTATCGTGGCGGAGCAATCTCCGTCATCAACTCTCTCCGGACAAGCATAGACAACTGTTACATCACACGGTTCGGAGACACAAACGGGATTCTAGTCCAAAAAGGACACGAAACTTATATTCGAAACTCGTTTCTTGGCCAACACATAACCGCTGGTGGAGACAGAGGAGAGAGGAACTTCTCCGGCACCGCCGTGAACTTGGTCGGTAACGATAACGCCATCACAGACACCGTTATATTCTCTGCAGCCATTGGAGTGATGATATCAGGACAAGCAAATCTCTTGTCTGGTGTGCATTGTTATAACAAAGCAACCGGTTTTGGTGGAACCGGGATTTATTTAAAATTACCCGGTTTAACTCAGAACCGGATTGTGAATTCTTATTTGGATTATACCGGTATAGTTGCGGAAGACCCGGTTCAGTTACAGATTTCTGGGACGTTTTTCTTGGGCGATGCGTTTATTTTGTTGAAATCGATAAACGGTGTGGTTCGTGGGGTTAACATTGTTGACAATATGTTTTCCGGGTCGGGTCATGGGGTTCAGATTGTGCAATTGGATCAGAGGAATAAACCGTTTGAGAATGTTGACCAGGTGGTTGTTGACCGGAACAATGTGAATGGTATGGCGACGAGATCAACGGTAGCTAAAGCATCGGTGGATGGAAATGGAACGTCTTGGACCGTAGATTTTAATCCGGTTTTGTTGTTCCCGAATTTAATCAAGCATGTGCAGTACACGCTCGTAGCGAGTGAAGGTGGCGCGTTTCCTGTTCATGCGGTAAGGAACATTTCGGACAATCGAGTGGTGGTTCAGACAAACGCACCTGTTACTGCACAAGTTTATGTAACGGTGGATCAGTGAGTTGGGATTCCTGTTTTTACCCTAATAATGATTTAAATATTATTTATAGAAACTATAATCAGTGGTGGTTTTCTGTTATTTTTGTAATTTTTCCTATCAGGAGAAATTTTATTTTTTACTATCAGTAAATAAAAAAACTCGAATGTTTGTGATTGCAGTTGAAGAGTTGTTGGCAGACATTTACTTGCTTATTTTTCTTTGTCAAGACAATTACTAGTCTCTCTGATATGAAATTCAATGCAACAACTAGTGAACTTACTACTCTATAACCTCTGAAATTATGATCGTGACCAATAACCAAACGCTCTATCATGATTTACACTAGAATCAAATAAAGCAACCAAATGTAATTAATTAGTTGTCTATAATGTCGGCAACAAAAAAAAGAAAGATCTCTAAAGGAGACTTTGAGGCTCTGCATCTATTAAATTAGGTGGTCTCCATAGAGTAAATTAAGTTCTATTCGCAACCCCATTTTCAGTAATTACTTGTAGTCTTTTACTTTGTTATATTTGAAAATTTGATTTTTTAGATTCTTTTCTTGTTTTGTTTAAGATTGAGCTTTAAACTTCAACCAATGCATCTTATAATTAAGTTATAAATAACAAATAAGAGTATATGTTTACTTTTAAATGTCTGTGAAAACTGAAAATATAAAACAACCTCCTAAACAAAGAGGAAATAGAAAGGTTAAATACTTAATAAACAAAGAAAGTAGGTGAAAATAAAAGTAGTGTGTTTCTTACAAGTGATGAATAAGCAAATGATTTTGTGTTTAGACGATAAAAACATAATTTAAGAAAGCAATTTTTTTTTGTGAAAAGTAAAATTTTGCTACTATGATTAAAACACTCACAAAATCATTTTGGTATCAGCCAGTCATCAAACAATTCCAAAACTTTATGAACTTCAGCTGTCTACCAACAACATGCTTTTAATCTTTTTCTTGTCTTTTGCATTTCCTTATGAATAAAGCAAAAAACACCTAAAAGCTTTCTGTTTAATAAATTGGAATTCGAGTCGGTTCATAGGAATAATAAAGCAAAAAAAAATAACAACAGAAACAATGACCTTTAATACACTGACACACGCTCATATCAGCCTCTGCATCCTCTTATAAATCATTCCTTCTATATTCTCTCTTTCATCGTCTCTCTCTCTCTTTATCTCTCAAGAAGAAAACAAAAATCGAAGAACCAGATGAGACTCTCTTGCTTTGTTTGTTTGTTATTGTTTCTCATCACTGTTTCAGTTCAGTTAGATGAGACATTATCATTAAGAAGAGACATGACAAAGCTTCTTGAAATCCAAGACAAGATCCAAGAAAGACTCGCAACCGCTCCCTCTCTCCCACCACTATCTTCACCATCATCTCCATTTCCCAAAATGGTAAGGCATCTCCCACATTTCACTATGTAAACACATACATATGCACACGTGTGTGTAATTTGTACGCGTGTGGGGTTTGGTTTGGTTTGGTTTAGGTGGGAAGAGTTATTTACCCAATAAGCTACGGAGCTGACCCTACAGGTGGACAAGACAGCAGTGACGCAATACTTGAAGCCTTAACAGATGCTTTTCAGTTACACATTGAGCTTCACATGCTGCCACGTGTCACTGATCTAGGAGGTGTTGTTATTGATCTCCAAGGTGGCAGTTACAAGATCGGAAAACCTCTCCTCTTCCCTTCCTCCGGTGGTGGAAACCTCCTGGTTAGTCCTTTTGGTTCAAAACCTTATGTTTTTATTTTTGGTAAAAACTTTACTTACGTTTAAATCTTTACTTTACTTAGTTAAAACTTTACTTATGTTTTGAGTGTAATTCAGGTAAAAGGAGGGACTCTCCGTGCATCAGAAGTGTTTCCTGATGATCGTCATTTAGTAGAACTCGTGGCATCAAACTCAGAGATCTTCTTTGAGGATGTGACCTTCAAAGACGTTCTATTCGACTCAAGCTTCAGAGGAGGTGGCCTCACGGTAGTAAACTCAGCTCGTATCCGTATAACAGACTGCTACTTCCTCCACTTCACAACGCATGGGATTAAAGTCCAGGGAGGTCACGAGACATACATTTCAAACACATTCTTAGGACAACACTCAACGGTAGGTGGAGACAGAGAAGAAAGATCATTCTCCGGGACAGGTATCGATATCTCCAGTACAGATAACGCCATTACTGATGTAGTGATCTTCTCTGCTGGGATCGGTATCTTGTTGAACGGCCAGGCGAATATGGTCACGGGAGTGCATTGCTATAACAAAGCTACGTGGTTTGGTGGGATTGGGATTCTAGTGAAGTCTCATTTAACGAGGATAGATAATTGTTACCTTGATTACACAGGTGTAGTCATTGAAGACCCTGTTCACGTCCATGTCACAAACGGTCTCTTCTTGGGAGATGCTAACATTGTGTTGAGAGCCGTGCAAGGGAAGAAGATTCACGGTCTGAATATAGTTAACAACATGTTTAGTGGTGATCCTAAACATAACTTTCCTATTGTTAAGGTTGAAGGGGAGTTTACTGAGGTTGAACAAGTTGTGATTGATCAGAACAATGTGGAAGGGATGACGTTGAGATCAACAACAGGGAGGTTAAAGGTTTCAAGTAATGGGACTAGATGGGTTGCTGATTTTGCACCGGTTTTGGTTTTCCCTAACCGGATAAACCATTACCAGTATTCGTTTTTGGCTCAGTCTGGAGAGATACCTGCGAGTGCTGTGACTAATGTTTCTAACAATGTGGTCGTTGTAGAAACTGATAGAGATGTAACTGGAACCGTGTCAGTGATTGTTTATCAGTAGTAAAAGCAACATGTGTTTATATTAATCATTGTCTTAATAACAGACTACGCAAATTCAGACCAAAGTGGTTTACAGTTTCCTAATAATTAATACCAGCAATCAGCTACATCATTATTGGTCGGTTCATCTGGCACTTGGAGCTTCTCAGGGGGACCAGATGTTCTCGGATGTTGTTGGAAGTCACTCTTCCCTGGTTTCGCAATGTCTATATAAATCATCCTCCCATTGTACATCTGCAACAGGATTCGAAACATATTGGTTAACATCTAAACATAAAAAGATGTAAGCTTGTGTTACAAAAGAAGTTATTACCCTCCGGTCCATGGTCTCTATGGCTAGAAAGGCATCATCTTGAGACATGTATTGAATAAAGGCATAACCTTTTGATCTCTTCATTGACTCATCTTTCACAAGCTTAACTGTTTTTAAAGACAAGAGTGAAGTTCTAGCAACTATCTATACAGCTTTTTAGCACAGAGAGAAACAGAGTAAAATATGCAAACACAAACCTTCAGCTATCTCGCCAAAAGCTGAAAACTCCTTTTGCAGAAAATCTTCACTTGTAGAAAACGGTAAGTCTGCAGATTATAAAGCAAAGAAACAAACATAGAGAAATCAGCAAATCGAAGTTATAACCAGCTTCAATTTCACGTATGAGTGTTATGTTCCAATCACATGTTACAGGTAGCTACAATCATACTAACTCAAAATCATATCCTAGACTCAGAAAGAGGCGAAACATAAGCTTAACCAAAGGGTAGTCTAGATAATAGTGAAAGGAGACAGAAACTTTACTTCTGACCATGATTTTGCTAGCGAGAGGGTAATTAGATAGCGAAGCTTGAATCTTCGGAAGTCTAGGTCTTCTGTAACTTGGTATACAAGTTGATGAAGCCACAAACGAAGGGAAAGCGAGCGTCGCCGACCACATGGTTTCAAACGGCTGCCGGAGAGAGAGACAGAGCGAAGAAACAGTTATGAAGATATTTTTGACGGAAAACGACAGCGTTTTATTAGCTCTTTAGATTCGCGCTTAAAGCCCATTAAGACCTAAGTTATTGGGCCATGATGTTCTACTTAAACGAAAACAGGGGATGTAACTGATACAATTTAAAGCACATTTTGACAAATTTAAAACAAATCAGAAATACAAGGGCCTCGATGTGTTTGTTAACTACTATTTATTCACTTGCTGTAAAACCTCACACAAAAACCCTAATTTCGTTAACTCTCTAGACATTTCTAAAGAGACTCTTCAGGAGCGATATGGCTATGTACTCTCACCGTCTCCGACGAGCTTTACTCACCACCACTTCATGTCTTAACCGATCACTCTCCCTCTCTCCAGCTACTTCCATTGCTCCAACCTCCCTTACCCGATCTGTATCCACACAGAGATCCGTTTTAGGGAGTCTGACGGGAGCAGCGACTCGAGCTCATGTGAGGCTGTTCTCTACGAGGGAGTACAAGCTTTACAAAGAAGGAGATGAGATCACGGAGAACACTGTGTTGTTCGAAGGATGTGATTATAATCACTGGCTCATCACTATGGATTTCCCCAAGGATAATTCTTTGTCCCCTGAGGAAATGGTCGCTACCTACGAGAAGACTTGTGCCGCGGGGCTTGGTATCAGGTTTGTTATGGAATAATGTTTAGATTTGTCTCTGTTAGCTTTTGTTTGAGTAAGACAAGAGTATGATTGATACATTTGTCTGAATCTAAGACAAGAGTGAGATACTTTGGTCTGAAGCTTTGCTTCAGTTTTGTGTGTATGAAATAACATTGGAGGGGTTTGTCTCTGCTGTTTGTTTTGTTAGATAGTGATGAGATTTGTTTTGACTGATGCTTTAGTTAGAAACTAAGGCAAGAGTGAGAACAAGATACAATTGGTTTGAATTTTTGGTTCTGTTTTTTTTTTTTGTCGTTTATTTGTCTTTTTGTTCTGTTTTGGTGTCCTGTTCGTTATGGAATAACATTGGATGGGTTTGTCTCTACTTGTTTGTGAGATAGTGATTAGTTTTGTTTTAACTGATGCGTTAGTTAGAAAGTAAGACAGGAGTGAGATACATTGGTCTGAATCTGAGACAAGATTGATATACATTGGTCTGAAGCTTTGCTCCATTTTGTTTCTTTTTTTGGCGTTTATATAGTTTCTTTTTTGGTGTTTGTGATTGAATTACAGCTTGTGATTAGTTTTGTATCATGTTCGTTATGGAATAACATTACATGGATTTCTCTCTGTACTTTTTTTTGGAGTAATTGATTCTTTAGCTAGAAAGTTAGACAAGATTGAGAGAGATACATTGCTCTGAAACTTTGCTTTTGTTTTTTGTATTTTTTGGCGTTTATATTGTTTTTTGGTGTTTGTGTTTGAGTTACAGCTTGGAAGAGGCAAAGACGAAGATCTACGCATGTAGCACAACAACTTACCAAGGCTTTCAAGCTATTATGACTGAAGAAGAGTCTGAGAAGTTCAAGGGTATATATATAACTTTAATTTAGTTTCCTTTTGAAGAAACTATTCTCACTTGTTCGGCTTTGTCTACAGATCTTCCTGGAGTGGTGTTCATATTACCAGATTCCTACATTGATCCTCAGAACAAAGAGTATGGAGGTGAGCTTGATGGTTTTATCTAAATTCATCTCATTTTGGATATACATAAAAACTGACTCTTGGAACTCTGCTAATCTATTCCGTTTACCAGGAGATAAGTATGAGAACGGAGTGATCACACACAGGCCACCGCCGTTTCAGCATAACAGAAGACAACCTCGTGATAAGTTTAATCAAAGACCCGACCGTCATGGTGTTCCTCAAAACTACCAAAGAAACCCACAGTTTGGCCAGCAACCACCAATGCAAGGTGGTGGTCCTGGTGGAGGTGGATATGGTGGTCCTCAGCAGAGCTATGGTCCTCCAGGACAAGCTCCTCCTCCTCCACCATTTCAGGGAGGTTACAACCAAGGACCTCCGAGATCTCCACCACCTCCTTATCAGGGTGGTTACAATCATGGCCAGGGATCTCCTGTGCCTCCGTACCAAGGACCACCTGGTGGTTACGGTCAAGGTGGACCTGGGAACTATAACCAAGGGCCACAAGGAGGTTACAACCAAGGAGGAGGGCCTAGGAATTACCCTCCACAAGGGACTGGAAACTATGGTCCTGCACCAGGAGCTGGAACTCCTCCTAATCCAGGATTTGGTCAGGGGTATGGTGGACCTGGACAAGTGCAGAATCAGACATTTCCACAAGCAGATCAGAGGAATGTAGCTGGAGACTGGAACAACAATAATCCAGCAGGCCAACCGGGGCCTGACCAAGTAAGTGCTTGACCGTAAATAAATCTTGCATCAATTTTCCACATTGTTGTTACTGAGTTGGACATTTCTGTTTCCACAGGGAAGAAGATACTAAACAGAGAGAGACATGATGGATGCTTGCTGCTGTGAAATGAGCTGAATAAGAAGAGAGAAGTGTCGAAGGCCCTTTTATTAAGTCTTTAGAGTACATAATTTGTTAGTCATCTCCTATTTCTACTTTATAAGAACAAGAATCATCTCCTTTTTTCCGTTAGTTGAGCTTATTCAACGTTGTTTGTTGCATCTGGTGACTTGAAACACTTTTTCAAAACGTTGTTTGCCAATCTGCCTATCTTACTCGTGATTTGTTCACAAGTAACAAAGCTTTTCATGTGTTTCAAACATTTCCATAATGAAATCTTTACCGAGTAGTTGTTTAAAACCTGGATACATGATTGAGTAGAGTATAAGTCATTTTTGGAGGAGGGGGATCTATAAAAAGCTTTCGGAAAAACATGAATAAGATCGTATTTATTTATATGACAATCTGCGGTTTTAGCTATGCATCTTGATAAAACCATTGCTTGATCTCCGTTTAATCTGCTTCGGTCCAACATGCATGTTTTTTTTATCTTTCCCATCCACTGATTAGTTTAAGGTTTACGAAAGTTGTATTAGTATAATTAGTTATAACATTTTGTTTCTTGGTAAAGAGTTTTGTCGGAATAAATAAAAAGACATTCCAAATATCACATCGGATATTAGATAAAATAAAATTTAAATATATATAGTCTAATTCTATTTAATATGAGATATTTTACAAGTAATGATTCAAAGAACAATTTCATGAGGATTTAAACCCAAAATAGACAAATATTATACTAAATGAGAAATAAAATATTTGGTGACACACGTTTGATTCTAGTTGAATATCTGGTCTCCGGCACGAATATCCAATCTGGCTTAATAGAGTATATTGTCCGTCATAACAGATTTGTATCAAAACTAAAGTTATATGAACTTTTAATTTAAGAAAAATTATCATAATAAATAGAAAGATAATCAAAGTTTCATATCAGATATTAGATAGAATAAAATATATATATTTGGTCTAATTCTATTTAGTATGAATTTTTTTGGGAATAACGACCCAAGAACAAATTTGTGAGGATTTAAGTCCAAAACATACAATATTATAGTAAACGAAGAATTAGACATCTGATAGACGTATGGCTCTAATTAAACGTCTGGCCATTCTAGTTGAACGTTTGCTCTCTGGCATAGTATTTGGCCCAGGAGTACATCTACACCGTCACAACAAGTTTGTTAACACTAGCTAGTAAACTAACTTATTTAAACTGCTTAATTAGAAACACGACATATATTGTATACTTTACGGTTCATTGATGAGAGCACTTTTAAATCTTAGACTTTTTTGCTTTCACTACCATCTGCTTTCGTTATCGAACCAGCTAGGTTTATCGAGAAAATAATAAAAGCTAAACGCCATGCACGTAAAACACGTCCAAATATTAATTTGATTTCACTCGGCCATTTCACACATTGATCACATATACAAACAAACGTGTCACCTTTCACGCTATAACCTTATTTTTCAACAATTATAAATTACAATACAACGTTTTTGTTTGATTAGGTGATACTTGTAAATAAATTAGACTGGTTTGGTCGTTGTTTTGTTTGCTTTTTTGTGTTTATTCATTCATTTGCTTGTTGATGAAGTTAATTGTCCTTACTTAATGCTCAAGAGTCACTTTATATATCTTTTTATTATTTAACATAGTATTATATAGTGTCAGTCTTTATCTCGCCAAGTATTTCTATTCATAATTCGTAGAACTCGTAGCTTATACTTGCAGGACAAAGCTATGCGTCTAACTTGTTTGAATGGGTCAGCTGCTATAAGCCTATCATACGAAGTATGAGTCAAAATCTAATCCAGAAACTAGAGTTTTCTTCAAGTCCATTCTCCGATTCGTTTTGTTTTTATATGGATATTCGGTGATATGATATGCAATTTTTTACTCTTTGGTGATACTAAAATCGTGACGTTCAGATTTAAAAAAAAAATGATTTCAATTTATTCAGTTTGGAAAATTAAAAAATTGTATTTAAGCAAAAATGTAAAATTTTTAAAATTGTATAGCCGATATATTCACTTAGATTCACTAAAAAACGAATGAACCATATGGATCAGTTCAGATAATTTCTTATAAAGCAAGTTTGAACCCAATTTAGTCATGTGAGTAAAATGTGAACGGAATTTAACAACCAGTTTACACAAAGTTGACTTTGACATATAATCCGAAGGACTGATCATACTTTAACCATGAACTAGGATTTATCAATATCTCTAAATCAATTGGAAACTTTTTTTTTTGTGAACAACAATCAATTGGAAACAACATAAATGAGTAATTTTTTTGACTGCGGACATTGTTCAACTGATGATGCTTTTGGCCTTTTCTTTGATTAATTCTCTCTGTCGGCTTCACTGATGAAATTACAGCACATATAAATAACTCTCTTACCTTTGCAGAATTTTCTTGATTAAAATGTTTGTAAACTGTCACCGATACATACAAAATAACGAAAAATTTACGCGTTTTTGAATATGGGTATATGACTAAGTCTCCGACATCACCTTACTTCTTTATTAATTTTATTTTTGTCATTCACTTTTACATGTTTAATTATTATGTACTAAATCAAATAGTTCACACACGCATATTAACATATTTAAACCTAAGTTATAACACAACAAGAATTAGTATAATGTACTACCATATATCTTGGTCGTTGTTTAACTGTGATATATATGATCCAGTACATTTTACTGAAACCTATCAAAGTATTAGAAGTGATATATTGATGATAAAGCAGGACGAATATATTGATGACAAAAACATATTATGTCAAGTTTCGAACTATATATTAAATCAAAATTTCAAGAGAATAGAGTAAAGATAATCGACTTACAAAATCTTCGTGATCTATAGGAACAGAAAGCAAAAAAATTATCACATATTATTAGAAATGCTTAATGGACTTATACCAGAAAAAAAAAAAATTCCCAAATACATACCCCCTTAAGTAGTAACATCATTATCTTCATCTAATTACTAAAAACAAGCTATATTAGAAATCAAGATCGCTCATCATAAACTCCTCCAACGTTTCCGTCTCTTGGTAAAAATCGTGATAATAGTAGTCCATATGATCCAAGCCATCATCATAACTACTGTTCCCTGAATATTCCCTCAAAAGATCATGATCATGTTCTTGTTGATCAAACACGGAGTTACTCTCCTCACCCAACTGATACGTCGGCGTTTCTTCTTTACCTGACCAAGTCGTGTGGTGCTGCTCGTTACCCACGTGCTGGTTAAGCGCATGAGCATGATCATAACTCTTTCTATCTTCGGAGACAGGGAAGATAGCTTCCTTAGATATTGTAGATGGAGACCCGAAATCAAGAGTCACTGGACCCCTTCTACGGTTGGATTCACCACCAGAAGAGCGTCCAGTGAATTTCTGAACTAGAGCTCGGAAATTGCTAGGGCTTGCGTTGAGGAGAGTCGTTGGTACGGCTCTCCTCGAAGCCCTAGATTTCCTTCCGGCAGTTTCATGAACGGCAACAATACCACCGTCTTCGCCGAGGGATGAAGACATCATATTAATGCTATCAAAGCATGGACTAAGCTCTTGAACTTGGTGTGGTTCATAGTGTTGTAACCACTGGCTTGCTCTGGACGAGTTGTTGTCCATTGGACTTTTTTTTGTGTTCTCTAGTTATTTTTTTCTTTTCTTTGGTGTAGCGTGTATTCATTGCATATGCTTTAGGATTGAGGTTACGGTTACTCTATATATGCGGAGGAGATGGTCGTACTAACCCTAAAAAATATATAACTATTGATGATCGTTGACTTGTACCTTCAAGTTTTAATATGTTTTGCACGTAGTTTTTAACTCAATCAAATAAATTGGACAGTGTGTAAATCATTATGAGTGTTGAGGAAGTAATTGTATAAACTAGTGTTTTAATTTAAATATTCGTATAATGTTCTCCTTTGAATGAATATATTCGCGTAATGTTCTAATGATCTAAACAATTTATGGTGATTCAATAGCTGACCACTACTATCATGGTCCAGCTATGGTTATATTAGAAGAATGTCCAGCCTTCTCAGGGATTTTCATTTTTCTTTGCATCGATCTTATTGACCCAAAAGTACTTCGGTTAAATGTTTGCTTCATTTTGATTGCGGAGCTAATGGTAGTTTTTCTTAAGCTTGACTTGGTTCATCTGTAAATTTAAATTTCAGAGCTAAATTTTATCAAATTTTGTAATTTTTAAACTTTCGAATCGCTTCATTTTTCTTAGACTGTAATAAATTGCATATATTATTTCTTTTTTTTTGAACTGAAACATATATTATTTCTAATAAACAAAATACTTGACATTCTCTAAAGCAACTGAATTTAACCAACTAATCATCACCGAGATAATTAAAATTTTAACATCCTTTTTTGCAGTTCCAATTATATTTTATAGTGAAAATAAAATATATCCAAACATGATCATACCAACGATGTCCGTAAAAAATATTATCAGTTGATTAAACTTTTAGTTTTACCGTACATACATTTTTATTTTTATTTTTATTTTTATTTTTATTTTATCAGAGGTTTTAGTATACTGTTTTGTTAAGTTTCAAAATTACTTTTCATAAGTTAGCTTATATGTAAGGTTAATTTCAGTGCTGTATTGAAATATATATACACATGTCTGTATAGTGTACAACAATATGAATGTTATAGGTGAATGGAGATGGACTCGATCAGGAAAATAATTTTATAGGAAACGACAAATGGTGGATAACGTACATCAAGCATGATACAGAAAGACTTGACTTTGATGATTTCCTGTCTCTTCGGTTCTCTCGATCGTTTACTAGTCAATGCATCTTTTTATATATTGGTTTAGAAACTAATTACTTATAAACAAAATAACGATATTAAACTTGTATGATGAAAGAAAAGTGACCTATCCATTTAGACTAACATTCTACCAAGTAGTTTGCTAATTTATCAAAATTAATCATTAATTTATTTAGAATGTATTTAGGATAATTGCATAGTGAACAAAAACTCAATATTGGTTGCTCAAAAAAAAAATCATTTTTTTCTTCTTCTTATTTTACCAACTTCTTAAATTTTTTGTTTGGAAAAGTTGCATATGTAAAACTTTTGCAATTCAAGAATGTGATAATCTTTAAGGATTGCTCATGATCGATATAAATTAGTTTTGCTTTATCAAAGTTTTGCAACTGCTAAGAATTTCTCTTGATCGATAAAGACTTACTAATTCATTCTTTCTTTCTAAATGACTCAAACTTTTAAAATAAAATATCACTAAAATTTATTATAGTGATATCTTCATTTTCTTTATGTTTTTAACTATATCTAAATATGTTACTTTTGTAATTTGTGTTCAAACTTAAGATAATAAACACTACTAAAGCAAACAAAGGAAATATCTCAAACTAAAAACTTGTTATCGCTGATAAAAGAAAAACTTATCAATTAACGAACGTCTATATATATGGCGTCAGCAATGACGAAAACTGATAACGTCGTCACAGGTAAAAAATTAAAGAATACTACAATATAAACATAAATATTCATTAATCAGTTTACTGTACTGTATCATTCCAACGTGACTATTTTATTGTAATAAAATTTACGCATAAATATGTCTCTTTAATAAACCTAGAACAGAATTAATTACCGTTAACCAGTTGTCACTTGTTCGTCGATTAGGCGGTGGGTTTATCTAATGAAGCTTCCTTACGCCTTATTAAAATACACTAATCCAAGGACTATATATGTAATATGTACAAAAGAATGTACACGAACAATGGAGACTTGAAACTTTCAAATATCATCAATAGTACTATAGTAGTATTTAACTAGTAAAGTTATAAATATTCGATTTAAGTTACTCTAATACCTAAAACTAAAATTTAACATTTTTACTTATCTTTAACTGGATATTAGGCTTTCAAGTAAGTATAAAATACTTTTAAAACAATCCAAATTTTCACTATATAAGTATGAAAAAGAAGTCAAACACGCAAAAACTATAGTCTAATGCCTCTATGGATACATCCAATAAAAGATACCTTCAAGAAGTCAATAGTAAGTTGGTCAAACATCTTGACCAGTATTCACAATGCTCATTTCTCACCAACGTTGGAGGGACTTTGATTAAGTAGTTGACATGTGAGTTATATTATCTTTTCTACCAAGAAAACCTCAAAGATAATTCTTCGTTTGAATTCAAACTTCCTAGAAGATTTCTTATACTTTTCATCTTTGTTTTAGAGCAGCAAAAATATTATGAGTTACTTAAATATATATGTGATTAAACCAGGGACGAAGACATATCTATGCATCTTACTAGTTTCAGAGATATCTCTAGATCTTAAACATTGCTCACAATGATTTTCTTTTGTTGTTTAATATTTGTCTTGGCTCGAAAACTACATGTAGAGAGAGAATCTTCATATTCTAAAATCAAGAGTTACTTGTAGCCATGATAAACAAGCATGAAACGTACATGCTAAATGAGACACAGGCCAAAAGATATGTAATGGTGTTTAGCTGTACAATTTGTCTACTCACATAAACTGTTCATTTTTACCATCAAAACTTTAACAAATATATTAAAAAATGTCACAGAGACTCTCCTGTTTCTCTGCGAGAAAAATTCTTGGATTGTTGATGTTGTTTTGAAGAATCGCAGAGTTGCTGAGGATGATGTCTAAAACTTGTCTGTCCCTGACAGTCATGAATAAACACAAACTCTCATATAACTCCTTTGTGAAAAATAAAGAGAAGCACAAGCAAATTTTAGACAAGATTCAAAAGGTCTAGGTCTAGTCTTTTACCATGTCCTGAAGTCTTTCATACATAACTTCTGGTCTGAAACTTAACTGTTCCTGCCATAATTTTCAACATATATTCCAAACAGATATGATAAAGGGATCTTCAGCAGTTTATCTCAGAGATACCAAACACCAAAGAGAAAAGCAGTTACATTCATACCAGTGAGTTTATGTTTTGATGAGCAGTACAATATGCATTGCGGTTTGAGGCCATCATGTTGATTTGTCCCTGTTGATTAAACAGAGGAACTAAAATGTTACTTCGAAGTTTGACCCTTTTTTATCTATTCTGTAGCTTTAAAGGACCTTTCTTCAGTACCATTTGGTGTGACATTTGTTGAGCGCTGAGGTAGTCGTCGAGAATCGAGTAACGGTTTCTTTGTTCTTGCAAAGCAGTTTCTTTCCATACTTCATGTAATGAATGTTCCTTTCACAAAGAGAAAGCAATGTTAGCCCAAATACTTGTCTGATGAGATAATGATCAGGAGATACCTGTCCTGTGTCGGTCACATTCTCATTAAATGAGTTGTTGTTGTTATGTTCTTCATGAGCTACATCCGAGTCTGACTCTTCAACATTGTGTATCACATTACTTTTGTTCTCACAACTTCTAAAAGCTTCATTCAGCACATTCATCACAGCGTTATAGCTCTCTTCAGATAAAGAAGCTTCCTGACTCAAATTCAAAGACCGGAGACAAAGATCCGTATACCGTTGAGCCTTACTTGAACAATCTCCACCGATCATATCAGATTCAACGGCTTCTCTCCTTCTCGCATCTTTCATCCAACGCTTCAACACATACTGAGAAGGAATAGTAAGTTCTCCAGACATCTGCAGAACAATCATTGCGTGTCTACAAAGAAAACCTTTGAGCTCAAACAATCTACATGAACAAACAACTTCAGATGATTCAGAGCTCCACACCACAACGAAACCACGGTTCTGCTCATAGTCTTGAACCCTGAAAGTCATCTTGTTACCCCCATCTTCGCTTTCTATCTTAGGATGACAAGCAACACCTCCCAACACCTCAACCTGAAACCTCTTGAACATCTCACGCGTGTATAGCTCAGCCATTTGCATCCCAAATGGTGAAGGTGACTTAAGTCCAGGTTGTTTACACAACGTCTCAATCTCAGCTTTCTCTTCCTCTTCGTACCTCTCTTGTATCATCGTCTTGTACTGATCAAGAAACGCTCTCAACGTGGTTTTCCTTTGAATGTACTTATCGAAAACAGAGTTCATACCATCTGTACACATTCCCGCTAGAGAAACACCTTTCAAATACACAGGAACCCAATGTTCCCTATCTTCATACAGAGAATAAAGCCAAGCATTATCTCTCAGACTAAACCTATCGATCACCTCCCACCATCTCTTTTCAAACTCATCTCCCTTGCAAGAACCGTAAATAGCTTCATTAATCTCACCCACAAAGCTTTTCTCTTGTCTCATAACATGACCAATCTTCTCAGGCATCTGACCAAGTGTATCCCACATGTAAAAACAATGTCTAGACGCTGGCAAAGCCTCAGAGACAGCTTCTTTGAGCATTTGGTCGTGTTTGGTAAGTATAACTCTAGGTTCACATCCGTGCATCGCCTTTAACCATGACTTAAAAAGCCAAACGAATCCAGATTTAGACTCTTCGTTTAACAACAATCCACAACCAAGTACCAAGAACTGTCCATGGTGGTTCACGCCTATAAACGCAACAAGAGGAAGCTTATACTCGTTCTTAATGAACGTAGTGTCTATAGACACAACATCACAGAAACAAGTGTAGTCCAATCTCCCTTTTGCATCAACCCAAAAGACGTTTCTTAGAGTCTGCTCCTCGCTAAGATCAATGGCGTAGAAGAAGAAAGGATTCTCAGCTTGCATTTCCGTAAAGAAGCTTAGGAGTCTCTCAACATCTCCATCCTCTAACGCTTGAAACTTTCTGCTCTTCATCTCTTTCACAATCTTTTCCCGCCCAGATGTTTCTCTTATGGAGTTAGCTTGACCAGGGAAGGTTTCGTGGTTATGTTCTTTAACCAAAGCGCGAACCACCCACCTCCCATCTTGCCTTTTCTTGACGTGTAAACACGCTTTACAATCCGTCTTCGAGGAAGAACGGTTGATTCTACCACGCTTTCTCGCTTGAGGGATGTTTATATCTTCTTCTTCTTCTGTTTTCTTGCTTCCGTAACGTGTACAAACGAACTTGGCGTCGATGAACTTCCCACTCATTCTTGAACGACGGCTAGCTTTTATAATGGTGTTGAAACCTATAGATTTAGCGTACTCTTTGTAGAACTCAAATGCTTCCTCTTTGGATTCAAACTCTAAACCTTCGTTGATTCTTTGATCGTCACATTCTCCTGAAGGCATCTCGAGATCAATCCCCATTAAAATGAAGCTTTGTTTTCACCCTTGAAACCACATCTCTAGAATCAAAAACACAACCAAAGTTGCAAGCTTTATGAGTTTCTACAGAGAAAGCGATTCTAACATCAAACTAAACAAGCAAAGTCAAAACCTTTAAAACCCATAATCAGCACAAAGACAGCTCAAAGCTAATAGTTAATAGTTTTAAGACAAAACAGTCAAACTCATGATCCAAACAAAACACAGAAACGACAATAAAAACAACTTAGATCGATGCACTAACTACGATACAAAACAGAGAAAAACAGAAACTAATTTTTAAGGAAAAGAAACAGTTACATGATGGAAGAAGACAGTGATGATGACTAGTGGCGAGTACAGAGCCAATCTTCATTTCAGCAAAGTTTTGATCTTTAGGGTAAAGAACAGTCGTCTTCTCCGTCCTACTCGCCTTTTTCTATACTCGCGGTTATGTTATATTCTCACCACTTCTCCGGTTATTGTTAATACTAAACCGGATTCTAATTTTCGATAACCGGATTCATCTGAGCCACAGGTTGATTAGTTATCTTGGCTTAGAGGTTCTACTTCACCTCTCTGTAGATTCCCTCGGAGAAATCAGACACAAAAGTTTCATCCTTTATCGATTTTCATCAGAAATTAAGATTAAAAGTTTGGATTTTTAGGCTTCTGGTAGTTAGTTTTATCAGGAAAGTATGTGTCTTTGAATGTTGGTTTAGCTCATTTTCGTTTATATAATGCTTTAGAGCCATTCTGATTAGAGATACAGAACTCTAGTGCTGAAAGATTTGATTTTTTAATGTATTAGATGGTGTATCATTGTGTGATCAAAACTGCTTGAAGAAATGGGTTTTGTGGTTTGTGTTGGTAATGCATCTCTTGCGTCTATGGAACTGAGGTGGGTAAGAAGAAGAAGCAAATGTGATGTTGATGCTCCTCGTTCCATACCTGTTTTTATCTCTACTTTGAAGAGAGACATAAACCTAGAGGAGCTGAGGCATTTGTATTCACGTTGTGACCACTCTTGCAACCGTTTGTCTAAGGATGGTGGTAGTAGCATTGTTGACATGAAGAAGCTGCGTACAGCTATCTCTCGCAGCGATGTTGTTGTCTCTGTGTTTTGCAAATCTCATCACGTTGAAAAGAGCACCAGTGATAAGGATGATGATGATGATGCTGAAGAAGAGAGGTTGTCTTCTTCCTCTTTGTTTCCTTTAGATTTAAGGAGACAAAGCAAGGAGGAGAGTTCTTTGGGGCATATGTTTCAGGACGTGTTGCCTCTTAGTCCTTCAAGTGGCCAGCTTGTTGGGTTTGGTCGTGCCTATTCTGACTATGGCTTGACCGCTTCTATTCATGATCTAATGGTATTTTATCTATATCAGAAGTTTCAAAGATTGTTTAGTTGAATTAGCTTTCATTTTCAGGTCTACGCTTTAGATTTAGTACCTTGTGTTTGGTGCTGAGATGTGTAACTTGGTCTCAGTGTCTTCCAGGTTTTACCTTCACTACAGCGGATGGGGATTGGTAAACTGATTGTTAACAGGATTACCAGGTTTGATTAGAGCTTCTACTATCATCTTGCTTTACTATCCGTAAAATATCAAACTGCCGTATTCATTGAAAAAAGTGTTTCAATAGGCTACTCACAAGTAGAGACATCTATGACATAGCCGCTCTCTGCTTTGAGCATGAAAGGTAATGCCTTTGCTTCTGACGTAACTAATACCCATCCTTAACAGCTTATGAGTTCTTTCTTGTGTCCTTTCACCTCTAGATTTAGAATCGAGCCATATATATTATGAGTGTGATCTGTTCTGACAAAGGATTTGGTGATGGTATCTTACTGATGATAGTGTTGAATATGAGTGGGATTGATATTAGTACAAAGACTGAATTAAAATGTGAATGGAGAGTCTTTGTGCATACTCTACTAATGATAGAGAACGTCTTTTTTTTTTGTCTTAGGCCATTCTTCAAAGCATGTGGGTTTGCAGATGACAGGATGGGTTCCACAACGATGATGTTCACAAAGAGCTTAGAGGCCTAATCTAAAGCGAGAAGAAGTACGTTGGAATCTTCAAAAAACTACTGGTCAAAGCAAGTTGAATGATCTTTATACAAAATCTTTTATGAATCTCTTTCTCTGCGATGATCAGAGAGAAAAAAAGCCAAAGATTCAGTGTCCTTTTTGCATTTTTGGATTTGATGTCTTGTGACTACTCTTTTTCACTTCTATCTTGTCGTTTAAAGCAACGAATATATGTTGGATTCGGACTATTATTGCTCTGTTTCGAGAGGTGGAAATGTACATATCAATTGAATACAAACTATTTTGTCAAAATCTTACTGTTTCGATAAATTTTAGTTATAGAAAACTAAATTCTAACTAGGAAAAAAATATAAATTTCAAAGTTATCTGTGTATAAAGACAGTATGTCATTAGTACATCTTTTATTGAATTCCAATTCTCTTTTGTAACTTATATATGCTGTTTCCACCTTTTGAGAAAATATGCAGAAACAATCTAAAGAAAGTGATGAATTATTGAATGCATACCAACAAAAGATGTATTAAACGTATTTTACTACCCAAAAAGGTAAAAATGTGGTAGGAATGTCTGTTTCATTCGATTATAAATGCACCCACAAATATGCTATTATACATGTGTTGTTGACTTTTTCAGTTCTCTGTTTTTTTTCGTCAACAAATTTTTCAGCTTCTCATACCTCATACGTATAATTTTCACATTTTAAAAATATTACCGTATTCGAAATAGTAAGATATTCTGTTCTCTTGTAGGTTGTAACTTGTAATGAGATTTTATGTTAAATTCTTCTTTTCTAACGTATAGTCTTTACTATATTTTAAAATATATAAGGTCTCTTCGAGTAGTACAAGAAACTATCATATATAAAGTAATGAGAGTTATTTTAACTTAGTTTTTAATTAACATGGTTTATGGTTCAAATGATGTGATCAGCCATGCTAAACTGCTGATCACGTGCTTTATACACGTCGTACATGTATATATTATTTGTTAATAATGTTCTTGATGAGGACTGATGACTATACTTATATATGTTTACTTTGTTTACCTTTTGCTCCAAATATATCAATTTTTTTAAAAAAAGATATATCAAGGTTATATTTCAAAATATTAATACCAATCTCGTTATACTTTATATATGATCACCACACATTTTCTTCTTTTTTTGTTGGTTAAAACCATATGTTATAATATAAAGTATTTTAAATTCAGATTAGACAGTGTGATAATCAGTTCATATCTTCTTGTATTAAACTGCATCCTTCCGAAAATGACCAAGTGACAGAGTATACTAAAAAAAATAAAAAATAAACATATAAGATATTGAACAGAACTACAAAGGTATTGTTGCTTTTCTTTTTAGTTTTCTTTATCAAACCAGGGGATCTAATCTTTATCTCCACTAGATTTCAAGGAATGAACTTGTAGTTGTCTTTATCACAGAAGCTGTATCTACAGATCCACAATGGATTAGATCGACTGTGAACTACCAACATGTTATTAGTTTTAAAGAAAAACTATTAACATGTTATTAAGAACATGAAACCTACTGACATTTTTCTTTGTTAAAGAAAAACCTACTTACATTCATATTATAGTACATCAAATAAATCAAAGTGATTTCTTAATAAATGAAATAGGCGTATATTTCTATGCAAGACTATAAGCAAACATATATAATATATATTATGATATGTGTACCGTTATCACATGGGCCGGTTACTTTTCTTTTGTGTCGTTTTTTAAACCTGAAATTTCCACTTGTGCATAACAGTGATGAGAGTGAAAGGAATTAATTAACAAACCAACCATCATGTTGACAAAAAAAAAAAAAAACCAACCATCAAAACGATGGGCCAGTGCAATTGATAAATAGAAAGCGAGACATATGAGGAGAAGGCGAAGAAGACGAATCTTGACTCAGCTTCATGTGTTTGATTCTTAGCCATGTGCTGATGTGCACTGCATACCTACCATAATTTATTGACTATTCAATATCAATATTTATAAACATTCAAAACTTATTTTGAACAGATAGCATATACTCTTGTAAGTACTTGTAAATATTGGTAGAATATGCGAATATGCATTAATTAACTAAGAAAAAAGGCTACAGTATTGTATTTGTAGTCGCCTCGATCAACTATAGTTAGTTAGTTACAAACAAAATGAACTAAGAAAAAGTTTTTATACAAACAAAACATTGGATTGTGCTTACTATCAATTATTTCTAGTAGTTCTTTATGTTGTTAATGCTAATTGCGAGCATTTCAATCTGAACCTTTAACTAGTTTCAAAAATTTGTGAAAAGTTTTTTTTTTTTTTTTTGCAATTTCAGACCGAGATACTAATAATGATTAAACTAAAGTGAAAGAACTTGAATCCTGCTAATTAGTTCTTCCTTCTAATTTGTTATGATAGTAATCCAGATGAATCTAAATATGATAAAAATAGTGTGTATTGTGCAGAAAATATTTTAAATCCCAAGATAATTAATTGATCTAAAAAGCAAGAATATGAAAACAAATAAGACTTGAAAAGATGTGAGCATTGGCTAAGACCTAACTATAAATCTATATGCTCTAGTATTTTAAAACTAATTTGATTTAGAAACAAACTATAGAGAAACTGTATAAAATAATGCTACATGTTTTCGGGTTTCCCATTCACACTTACAAAAAAGCATTGAGATTTTCTTTTAGTTTGATCAAAAAAAGAGTATACGGTCTTTTCTCTTAAATATATAATAACATATAGTAATATATATAAAGTAATTAGGTTTTAGATGTACATACAATTATATATATAGACATGCATACGCTTGTCAGATTATCACTTTAGATTCTTTTCATCATAACACTCACACTCCCTCTTTCCACTTTCCGACAAGTCGGAAAAATGGCTTTTTCCCGGCAAATAACCGACGGCAAGATAGCCGCCTCAACCACCGTAACAAAGAAGCCCGATGTTTCAACTCCGCGGCCAAACTGCTGCGTCACGTGCCTTGCGAGACTTATCAGAAAACTGAAGAGAAAGGGGAGGTTGCTAGTGTCGGCAACAGCTGCTCGTAGACAGGCGAGTTCGCTGCAATGTCGGTACGATCCAATGAGCTATTCACTGAACTTCGACGGTGGCGCGTGTGGTACACTTCCAGATGATGAAGATTATTATTTCCGGTTCTATGCGTTTTCTTCAAGATACGTTACTAATAATACTATCAAGGCGAGACCACCGTTTCCTCGTGAAACCCTCTCTACCTCTTCACATGATGTGGCGTAAAACTAATTTGTCGTTCTTTGACCTTTTATTTTCTTCAGCAAATGAAAACTAGATTAGTTAATTAATTTTGTATTTGGTATTTAGTTCGTAGATTTAAATCAAATTTTTTTTATTTGTTAAATGTAATTTTACATATACATTATCAAGAATTACATTTTCTAGCTGAGTCTTTATTAATAACTTTCACAGAAACAACAATCTGAGGAATGTGTTTTTCTAAGCAAAAAACACACAACAATATTACACGCAGAACTCGCATTTTTAGCGTCACTCACTTCATTTTTGGTGGACTAATGCACGAGCGTGAATGCGTAATATTTTTTTTTTTTTTTGCAAACTAATTTTTTTATCAAAAATTACATGGTATAACACCAAAAAAATCTAAAATTTACTAACTAACCAAAACAAGACTTTTTGGCCGAAAAAAGCGTCTTGGTGG